AAGGGTGCCCCAAAACTTCAGATTTCCAAAATGGCCCTGTATTTTAAAAACTAAGCAAGTCATGGAAAATTAGTGCATGTTAAATGTCATTGGCTAAAAACGAGATTTTAAATCTCGGATGGCCCTTCTCAAACTTTTTTTTCATAGTTGCTTTCTTAACTTCCTGAATTATCTACATAGGCAGGTCCTCTATATCTCTAGTAGCTGAATGTTTAAACCACATAACTTTTGAATGCACTTTCACGCATGCATCTCCATTTGATCCACCAATCTCCTATTGGCATTTTCTTTCTAAACACACACTTAACTTCTCTTTGCCTAAAGATTTAATGGGATCTGGAAATTTCTTGAGAAAATATTTCCATAAAAATGCCGGATCCAAACTTATTACTACTAGTTACAAATCTGGATTCCTGCGTCGTTTGTTGATAAATTGAACTTGGCAGGAGGAATCCAGAAAATTTTTAAATAATATTACAGTGGCCTATGAAAATTAATTTGAAAAATTATTCACTATCTGTCAGCGGCCATGTTGGTTGTCAAATACCCCAAGGTCACTGGTTAAAAATCATATTTATAAATTCCTGTATTATCACCATTAGGCACATCCTCTAATATCTAGTTAAAATATGTATAGTAATGGTGTTTAAATTTGTTGCTTAGTAGTTGACTAGACCACTTAATCATATGAATGCAACATTTTTGCCACTTATCCCACGACCATGAGATTCACTCATTAAATTATGTAATGTCATTTCAATAATACCCTGTATATTATGTGAATTTTGGATCTAGCGGCTACAACCAGATTTATTTTTTTTAATTTAGAGTTGGGATTGTCGAGTTGTTTCCACGTGACTTTTACGGAACTACACACACACACACAAACCACTAATTTTGAAGCCACTATGCAAAGTTCCCATCAAGTTATCAATCTGTGCGAAAGAATCATTTGAATTACAGGTTTTGCATTGCTTTTTTAAAGCAGCTGCACGAGATACCACAAAATTGAAGAAATAAAACCGCACATTAATGTTTTAGTGTTATATATTATGTCAATAATTTATCGTCACAAAAAATTGCGTTTCACGAACTCACTAGTGACTGTTTTCGGTTTCTGCTAATCCTAAATGCCTAATGATACGACCCCTGTATATCAAAATAAAAAAATAATTTAAGGTATTGTTGTTGAACTTGGTTTTTTACCAAACAGACAATTCACATAAACCATCGTTCTAAAATAATAAACGATTTATAGCAAAAATTTGATTTTATTCGAAAAACCACAAATCATTATTTACGATTGTTATAAATTTCTTAGTAAGTTAAAAACAAATCTTAGTTCGGAAAAATTAAAATAGTGATTTAGAATCTCGATAAACAATGAATGAATAAAATAAACCTAACGTTAAAAGCTTTCCACAAAACTGGCTGGGAACAGGCCTGTTTTGCCCGTTCTTTGTTGAGTGCCTTTGTACCAACCGTCATCCCTTTTCTTGTGGACGTAGATGATGTCGTTCACCTGAAGCTCCAGTTCGTATTCACTGTTGGGGGGATAGGGGGTTATGCAACGGAAACGTTCCCTAACTGACTGCACACCCGTCTTGGTCGATTTGTTACCGTCGAGAGAGTTGGATTTTTTATGGCGATGCATATCGGGACTAGATCCCGAGCTACCCGTTGGGTTTTCGGCCGACCTAAAGTCAATAAATACTTAAATGGAGCAAATCTTATACACACAACTAAATTCAGGCCATCACAAAATTATAGGGAAAGGCATGTTTTTCATTTTCATTTTTCAGAAACTTTTGAAGCGACCATGAAGTAAATGTTGAGAAAATTCATTCAATATGCGCATGCGCGGTGAATTCGAATTTTCCACCAATAAAACCTGTCATTTAAAATTTCGCTATCAACCAATTGCCCCAGAGGCGTTCAATAACCAACACGGCCGCTGACCCTTCATCAATTCTAAAGTATTCAGTGTGATGCAGAATTTTTATGACAGTATTATTTGATCAAGAAAGTTAAGTTTAATCCGTTATACCTTTTCACATGCACATCATTTTTGATTTTCTGTCAAGATTTTTAATAAAGGGATATAATACTAATATTCGATTTATATAAAAATTACAGGAAGCAGGTTAGAACATTGTATCGTAATATTTTGCAATTTTTAAACAAAACAAATTTTACACCATACTTTCAACTACCAAATCTTTGCCTCATATATAAAGAAATTATTGATATCTAAAATGGAAAATGAAGTGATAAAAAGACAGAAATTGTGGATCAAATTTTCATAATCTTCAACGTAATAATAAGAAATAAGCTATATATAACACTCAAGGCGTTAGGAATAGATAGCAACCATCACTGAGAATTTTGAAGTAAGAGAAGGTGTGAAACAAGTGGCCTCATTGTCTTCTGCATTGTTTAATTACGTCCTGGAATATGTCGTAGGAAAACCCAATATAAGCAGAACAGAACTAATACATCATAAAATGTATATATAAATTTAGGAATGTACTTAATAAATAGCAAATTGCTCTCTAGTAAAACTAAAATTTTACAAGACAGTTGTGAGATCTATAGTATCATTTGGAAGCGAAACATAGACAACGAACAAAAGCGAGCAGTTTGGGAAAGAAAGTGTTTGCACAAAATCTTTAAAGGAAAGAAAATTGGTGATAGACAGGAAAGAAGAAGCAATAAGGCGCTACAAGAGCTATTTGACCAACCTTACATTGTAGGCAGAGCAACGGGTTATAGATTAAGATGGAGAGAAGACACATAGAGCGAATTAAAGGGAATAAATGACCCAAAAAAATATTTGAGGGTGGAATTGGAGGAAGGGGAGGGAGGCAGACCTAAAATGAGGACATAAATGAACTAGGGATTAACAACTGAAGAAGACAGAGAAGAACGGAGAGACAAAGTCAACTAAGCCTTCTAGGCTCGCAGAGCATCATCCTCTTCAACTATTATTCTTATCAAGCTTTTATGTTAGCCAAATGAAACACACTACTCAAGTTTTGTGAAACCAGGTCTCTTCGAGTATAGGAGATTTGTTTTATTTTTAATCAAATAAAATATGTGCAAAAATCTTTCACACCGGTCAACTAATACAATAACCAATAAATTTAGAGACAAAATTCCAGAGATTGTTAAACACGTTCCATATAACTTCCAAATTTACTACATTCCGCGAATGCAGATTTTTAACCTAAAACGCTAATTATACTGCACACCGCGAATAGCCCATTTACTAATGCGTATGCTCCACAGCAATAACCTATTATTGACTTGACGAATTCAAATTTGCACCTAACTTATTGCACAGTAAACATTTAGTAAATATCAAATGTTGTCACTGTTAATTAAATTTAATTAAAACTGTTACACAGATAAATGGTTTTGGTTTATTCAAAGCAGTAAAACCACCTTTACCCGTTCCATGGTATAGAGAAATGCTTCGGAATAAACATTTTCGAACAAGATTTACTGGCATAGAAGATTTATAATTAATTTAATGAAATGCAAAAATTTAACAAAACATGTTTTAACATATTGTTTCACTGTTATTTGGTATTTATCTACATTTATATATTATACTGATATTATTCCATGTGCTATCTTCGCCCAAATTAATTACAATGGGTTTGTGTCATAACTTTGCAAACCCTAGAATTACTAAATTTCAGAGATTATTTCGGTTTCGCCATAAACAATGTTCCTTCAGACTACATAATGTACCACACAAATTCACTTGCTTCTTCTTGCAATGGAATTTGACACTATTCTTTTCACAGAAGTCAAGAGTATCTTAGCCAAATCAAATCAAGTGCAGCAGCACCAACGTTAAGTACTCTTTTAAGAAAAGAATTATAAACAGTTTTTTATAATTTACTCGGGCATAGAGAGGTAAATGCTTTTTCTTTAATGAAACACAGTGTCTAGCAGTAGAACAAAACATAACGAATTTTTTATTTAACAAAATCACAATGCACTAATATGTTCACATAGAAATAAAAAAAACAATATAAGGAAGCATTTTTACCCCCTTATTATTTGTTGAAATAATCATTTTGGCCAGTTCTATATCCCTAGTAATATAAATTTAGAACTGCAGGTAGTACCTCTTTTTATTGCAGTCAATAAGGTCAAAATCATTTATCTGCGAAGGCGCTAGAAAGCATTAAGCCGCACCGCAAGCCCCAAATAACAGAACAGAAAGCACACACACCTTGAACTGTAATTAAGAATGTTTGGACGTTCTTTATGTTTAATTCTTTGTGATGCGGGACCGAACAAGCGGTGGTGATCAGGCGATTGAATTTGCAACAACTGACTTGGACATGACCCGGACCTGTCAAATAAAATTTATATTTCACTTTTCCAAAATAACTTTTTTAAAAAATATTTATTAAAATCAAAACTAAAATGGGCACAATAACCTCACTAAAGATTGTATCATCGAACATTACACGTAAAACAAAACAGGGAACATCATTTAAGAAAACACAAAGGCAAAAGTCCTCCACTTTCCCTGAACCTCAAGGAATATCGTTAGTTTTTCAGGGTTTTAGAGGTTATTTATTTATTTGTTTATTAATTTATTGTCGGCAATGCCATTTCTTGTAGACAACAAGTTTATAAAACTACAAAAATACAACACAAATAAGAAAACACACAACCGGTGAACATAACGAAGCTGTAGAAATAACCGTAACTAATGAGAATTAAATCAGACAATATTGAAATCACAAAAAAATAAGCAAATTAAAATATGAGAAAATGAAAAAATGGTGTCAGTTTTTTCTATAGCCGCATTCTCAGAACTAAGTGGTGTCATCAGCGACAGTCCCACCACCATGTCGTTCAAAAAGGAGCGACACAAATTGACAGTTTGTGCTCAAATGATTACCAAAATGTCGCTAGCGACACGATCTAATTCTGAGAACGTGGTTTGCTACTGACTGCAGGAATATAATGTCAAACATTATTATAACAAAATTTACTATCCATAGGTCCCACTTATTCATTATGCAATCGTTTGGTCATACGACTCGAAAACGCATAAGTTACCTATCTTAAAGAATATTGATGATTCTTTGATTCATAGGCCAGAAAATCAAATTCCAGATATTCTTCTACCCTTTTTTAAATAAATGTTTTTTTAGGTTATATTTAACTTGTAGTTATTAAACAAGAGACGTCTATAACAGCCGTAAAAGTGAGTCATAAAAGGTATACTCCAGTCAGAGCAGTTGTGCAGTTACGTCACTATACTTGACGTAATCACAAATGATCCGTATGTCTTAGCTATATTGTTACCATTTTTAGATGCAGATTTCAAAACTGCCACAAAAATCCTGTGTCAATTTACGACATCTAGAAATGGACTAGATAAAGATGTCCTGCTATGTAACTTGACAGTTGCTCTAACTAGACTTTTAACTTTATATCATTTTTACTAAGCGTATTATAACCGTGAGTTACGAGAATGAGGTGAAAATTTTTGACCATGAGATGGCGCCACTAGGTCTCGTTTTAGTGCGGAGTTCTACATTACCATTCATACCGAGCTTGTATGTACAGTTTCAGCCTAATCGCGACGTTATTTTGCGTTTAAGACCACACTGCGCGAGACGCTTCCGTTGTTTTCATGAAGATAGAAAAATTGGGAAAACGTGCCGTTATCAAATACTTCTATTTGAAAGGTTTTACACCAAAACAAATTAAAGGAAGAGATAGATTCAACTATTAAGCAGTGGGTTTTTGAGTTTAAAATGGGGTGTGTGAGCACCTCTGACGAGCCTCGCTCAGGACGGTCCGGTGAGGTCACAACTTCAAAAATGATTGAGAAAATCCATCAAATATTGTTGAAAGACCGAGACAGTGCATGCGGTAGCTGAGACCTGTTTGTTGTCTGCTAAACGTGTGCGAAATATTTTGCACAACCATTTAAGCATGGAAAAAAGCTCTGTGCAAGGTGGGCGGCGCATTTGCAAATGCTCGACCAAAAACTGATACAAAAAAGCATTTCATGAGACTTGATTCCATCAATACATTCCTGAAAATAAGAAACAGTAAAAACAGTAGGTTGTAAAAAGGGAACCAACTCCAAAGAAGGCTAAAATAATTTTATCGGCAACCGAGGTTATGGATACGGTTTTTTGTGAAGCGAGTGGAATTATATACATCGATTACCTTGAAAAGGATAAGACCTCATTTGGCGAAGAAAAAATTTATTTCATCACGATAACCTTCCTACTCTCCAGGCTTAGCCAACAGCGATTATTACCTATTTCCTAACCTCAAAAAATGGCTTGGCCGGAAAAGATTTAAGAGTATTTTGGGGAGCTTAAAGAATCCAAGCATAAAACTGGTATAACCACATTAGAACACCGTTATGGAAACTTTTCACTTCACCCTCGTATACTGGCAGTATTCTTGCAATTCAAACCAATGTCGTTTCCTTATGGAAAAAAATCCCAAATTAATGGATCATAGGAACATTTGGAAAAAATTTAGTGATAAGCCACCGTTAACAGCGAATCAGGCACGAATCCCCTCATTGGCCTAATCACAAAAATGTCGCTATTACATAATTATTTCGTTTAGATACTTTTTTCATATTAAATGTAGATCAAAATGAAAACCTAAGTATTTTATTGAAGACGAATTGAAGTAGTTATGGTTTCTATAACGAAATATATGTTATTTTTTTGTAGCTGATTTAGGCCAGTAGCTACGCCAATGATACGTATCTCATAGTTGATTACTTAATTTACTATGAAAAGAATTAATCATTATGGATCGCAGCTGCGTCGTCCGCGAACAATAATAAAGACCCTTGACCATTAGTTTTAACGTTGCTTAACCTGGTTAAAGTATGAAGTTAAACCTGAAAACAAAATGAAAAAAAACTTTTTCCATTAATTATTTGGTAGATGATTTTTGTAGATAATTAACTTTAGTAATCAACAATTGTTAGTATTACTATTATTATTTTAAAGAGACACCGGACTAAGCGTCAGTGGAACGCCAATAAGCTTGATTTTTTTCTGACTTACTTGCGATTGCATTTTCTTCTATTTGTGGGCGAACATGATTAATATATTTTGTTTTAGCTAATAGATGTACCTTCGCGTCATTTTGCATAATGTATATGAAGACTTTCACTTTTTTGGAGCACATTTCACATTGATCAAAAAATTCCCGGAATTTATTCAGAAAGTTCAAAATACAAGTTTATTCCTCTACATTTATACTGTCACCTACAAAGTAATCCCCATCGACTGCAACACACTTATGCAAGAGCTTGATCCAATAACCGAAACATTTTTATATCCGGTTTGTAGTACTTTCTGTGTCCCCCGTGGTGGTTTTTTGGCTTGATTGAACAGGAAGAAATCACAGGGAACCAAATCAGGTGAATTCGGAGGCTGTTAATTATGAGGTTGCGACAGTGCTTTATAGTGGTGCAAAATCCAAGAGTTTTCTGCCTACAAATCTGGTTTCTTTGGCCAATTGCTTCATGCAAACGTCTCATAATGCCCAAATAATACTCTTTGGCCATCTGGCAAAAATTCATGATGCACTGCACCATTGTAATTCATGAAAACCGTCAGCACTGCCACTTTTGAACCCCTCGTGAAACTGGCAAACGACTTTTTTCTTTAGAGAATCGTTGCCGAAACACTGTTTCAACATTTGTAGCGTTTTTAACGCCAAATTAATACGCATTCATTGTTGCAAATTTAAATCCTTTTTTAAAATTCTAAAAAATCTCACAGAGATAGATGTGTTGTTACGTAACTTTTGCAAATGTATTGCTATTACGCTAAGATTTGGAGGAAATGTCAGCAACAGATGTACCAACTTAACAAAAAAAAGAACTCAAACCAGAACATACAATGAGTGCGCCACACGGTGGTTACTGGGGACAACAATATTGAGTTTATATAACGGTCATTCGGCGCAAAGCCGATATTTACGAAGTTAGAATTCCAATGTCAAAAATTTAACAGCCTTCGAAATAAGTTCTAATTTCCTATAACCAATTTAAATATAGAAAATCTTTTACATCAGAAATAGTTCGTTGATGCTGGAATGATGCGATAAAAAATGAAAACTTTTAAGACGTTCAATAATAACATACACGCAAAATATGCTGTCAAAGTTTGGACATTAAGATTCTTGCAAAACCTAAAACTAAAATACTGAAATAACGGCTAATTACTGTAAAATACGACAAAGAGATATGAAAATGGAGATCACATTACCTGACATGAACCGGCTGTACGGAAGAAACCGAGGAAGATGTCACGGAAGTATCCTCAAAAACGGGATTGTCCATAGAGTAAGAAGAGGGTGGTGGTGATTTAGATCTCTTCATGCTTGTCAGTCTTCTCATGAGACTTACCGTCCCCTTATCTTTTCGATCTCGTGACTATAATGTTAAAAAATATAAAATAATTTTTGGGTCCAAAATTGTCAATAACTAATGCGAAATTATTTTGACACAAAAAAAATTTACAGCATTGATACCAAAGAATAATAAAACGCAGTATTCTGAGATTAGTATTTTTGTTTACCTCTTCACAACTCTTTATAGTAAAGCCAAAAATTTCGTTTTTTGCATTTAATGCGCTTTTCAATTAAACTTTTTTTTCTTTCACGTTAGCGGCGCTCTATGGGCAAATCCTATATCATCACCTTCTAGAGAGCTATATCAAAATGTTTAGTACAATAATCTGCAATATACAAGGATTAAGCCTATAAAACGTTGATTAGGTATTATTTTTTCTCTAATTTGCTTTTATACTTTTTTTGGAAAATTCAACATTTGGAAACTGGTTTCAATTTCAAAGGTGTATGGACCATATAACTAATTTGTGATTAATAATATTTTTTTATTTTTTTTAAATAGTAAACCTATTAGAATAAGTTTCTACACACAAATATGCCAATATTAAATTGGAAAAAAACCAACCCATAAGTGCTAGATTAAAAGATTTACCCATAGATGACGGCGGTCGCTATCCTTGAATTTGAGAGAATAGAAAAGTTGTGGACAAATAGGCAAAAGCGGGCGTGTTTCCCTAAAATGTTAAAATGCAGTATTTTTAAAAAATATCTATTAAGAAACGGGGAAAGTTTTCTCCCCAGGGAGAAATTCATTGCATTAATAAATAGCCAAAAATCGCAATACTAAAGTAAGGCCATAATCAATGCCGATTTTGGATAGGATGAAATCCCAACATTTTTCGCAGCTTGTTTTATTTAAAAAAAAAATACACTGGTGTTTTGTAACACGTCCGACAAATACCAAATTATTTTAAGTTTTATAATATTGCCTTCAGTGACTTTATTTTAAAATATATATTATAACGTTCCTAAAAACCTTGTATTTTTCAAAGTGCACCAGGAGATAAGTCATCCAGAACTAGAGAAAACCTAAAAGAGATGGACCAAAATGTAGACTTTCATCAAATTATATTGGAAAATTCCGAAATGTAGCCCTGCTTTGACAGGTTGTTAAAATATACTAGTGGAGGCCGTGCTGTGGATTATATCATTTGCATTGTTTCCAATCAAATTCCGGTAATGTTTCTAACTCGTTTAGAGATACAAAGCAGCACCCTGTTAAAACATATTTAGTTCGAAAAATTTTAAAAGGCATGTTTAGAAATAATTCAAACAGTGAGGTTATGATTGACATTTGACATCCGTTACGTTAATACTTTTTAGGAAGGCACCTAGCTGAGTATTATAAAAGTTTCGTCAATGTTCAAAAGTGAACCTGATTGACATGGCGGTCATTGTTGTTTTCTCGATTCGATAGAAATCTTTTATAAAATAGTTATGGTTTATAAAGGTAACGACAACCTCTTATTTACAATTAAAATTTGGTCTCCATTTGCTTTAAGAGTTATAGCGGTTTTATAAGAATAACTAAAACGTTTTGCAAACAATTGATAGGTTCTCGGGTTTTAAAACAAAAAATGTTAATTGGGATGTGCTTATTCAAAAGGATAACTGTCAAGTTTCTAATGGGGGCTATACTCATGCAAGCAAGTCCGCGCGCAAGTGCGAAACGAATTGCGGCCACACACTATTCAGGTAAACCTCGAGGAGCACCTGGTGGGGTGAGGCCTGCTGCTGTGCGAAAAATGAAGTCGGCCTTCGCACTTGCTCTAAAAATCACACAATCTGATTCGCTTCGAGCCGCGCTTGGAACTGAACGCGCCTTGAGTTTTGACTCATACACATTCGCTCTTACTCGCGTGTCTCGACTTGTACAGGCAAGTCTTAACACTTGCCTGCATGTGTATAGGCCGCTTAAGAGAACATGCAAGCTCTTATTCAACAATGTGTGGGTGTCGTCAGTAATATCTAAGGATTTTCCGTTATATACGAAATCATGTTGTTTTTTTTACTATTTACAAATCTTCTGAACTGAAACTGACTCGTATTATATTCTGTACCTGCTTATAAGGGGTGTTTTTTTTTCAATGTATAGAATTTTAAGTTGCAATAAAACAAAGATGGATTATTCGATTGACATGAATTTTTATTTATCCGAAAGATAATCTTGTGGCATTACATTTAAATATGATTTCTGGCACGGCTGGCGCGGATGTAGTCCAATCTGGATGTCCAATTTTCGATAACTTTTTCCAACATTTGTGGCCGTATATCGGCAATAACACGGCGAATGTTGTCTTCCAAATGGTCAAGCATTTGTAGCTAATCCGCATAGACCAATGACTTTATATAGCCCCACAGAAAGTAGTCTAGCAGTGTTAAATCACAAGCTCTTGGAGGCCAATTCACAGGTCCAAAACGTGAAATTAGGCGGTCACCAAACGTGTCTTTCAATAAATCGATTGTGGCACGACCTGTGTGATATGTTGCGCCGTCTTGTTGAAACCACATCTCCTGGACATCATGGTTATTCAATTCAGAAATGAAAGAGTTAGTAATCATAGCTCTATACCGATCACCATTGACTGTAACGTTCTGGCCATCATCGTTTTTGAAGAAGTACGGACCAATGATTCCACCAGCCCATAAAGCGCACCAAACAGTCAGTTTTTCTGTATGTAACGGTGTTTCGACATATACTTGAGGATTAGCTTGGCTCCACATGCGGCAGTTTTGTTTGTTGACGTAGCCATTCAACCAGAAGTGCGCTTCATCTCTAAATAAAATTCGCTTATGAAAATCGGGAACAACGGCAACCTCGTTTTGGGCCCATTTGCCAGCGTTGTTCAGGCGTGAGTCTATTCATGATGAATTGCCAAACCAAACTGAGAATAAATCACTTGACAGCTGTTAAATCGGTCGTCATCTTGAACAGTAATGCCAACTTAAAGTTCTATACATCGAAAAAAGGAGCTAATTGAGAAAGTTAGATTGCTCATAGATTTCTATGGATTCTGGGATTTTTCTTTGGTAGAACAATTGACTACACGCTAGAATTTTAGTTTTATCGAATGAGATTTGATCTCCGGTTTTGTGATTGTATTCGGCAATGCTGATCAGTTGATTTGCCACAATCTTAAAACTCTTTCCTGTTTTTTTAACCTAGTTGATATTTTTCGTCCTGTCTCTATAATGCAGTCTTAGCGACATATGCATAGAACACTGTAAGTTCCTGTTATTTCAAATTCAATTTTGTCTTTGAATGATCGCAGATGTTGAGAGATTTTTAAACAAGTAGTAAATATTGTTTTAATGTTATATTTTTTAAGAACTTTTGATATGTAGTCACTGATGTCTTGAATGTAAGGACAGACTACAATGGTGAGTGTGGGGTTGCTTTAGCATTGTCTTTGTAAGGTTGTGGTGGCGATGGAATGCTTAATATCTCTAATGTGTAAATTATTAGAGCAGATGTAAGGTGTTTTAATTCTGGGTTGAGTGACTTCGGTTGAGATTGTTTTACGGCTCGTAAACAAGACAGTTTATAACCCATGATTTTTGGGCCAGATAGTGATGTGACAATGCATTGGGGTATTGGTCTCTGCGCGGAGGTTTTCTGTAAGCAGAATGACTGAATGACCAATAAGAATATCTATGAGTGCAAGATTATTATTAGTTTCTAATTCAAACATATGTTAGTGTGTCTAGAATTTAAATGACTAATAAAATCCTGGAGTGAGTGTGTTAAAAAGTTTACCGAACGTGTTGCATACTATACTTTTTCTACGACCGTTAGTTTTTGGGTCCATTTTCACAAAACAACACGAATACAATCACTGACATGACCGTCAGAATTGACAAACGTCAAGATTCAAAGCGTGGGAAATATCTCAGACAACATAAGATTGCTCCCAAATCCGTGCGGTAAAATCCCCGGAAATTTCCGAAGTGGCTTGGGTTCATGGGAAACGAAACTGACGTGGTAAAGTGACGCTTCCCGCACGCTAGATCTGTGGGTAATTAGGTATTTTACAGACGGGAGTAGAAAAAAAAAATTACACCAAATGGGAGTTCAGCATGCGAATTTTGTTTCGTCTATACCAAACCTCTTAACGATCCGATAGCAACCATGCAACCCCAGAGCAACCATTAATAAGCGTAGAGTATTCCCAATTTGCAAATAACCAATCTAAATGCAATAACCAATCTTAGAACGTCTCTGAAGAAACATCAAAATTACTATTTGAGGTTGTCGACCATCGGTAGCAATAGGAGCCATTTTTTTACTGATTATTTCTTACAAAAAGTAAAACATCCATTACAAGATCTATGAAGCAAGGACACTCCTCAGGAAAGAGAAACCTCCTGCTGACATATTAATAATAGCCTATCATCTTGACAGTGTACTACATCTATCCAAAAACAACAAACAAGCGAAGTCACAGGGGTTATGTTTGTTTAAACAAAATATGTTTTGGTTTTAGTTTATTTGTTCATATTTTTGGTTGCTTTTTGCTGTTGTTTTTTGTAGAAAAATTAATAAACTGTATAGAAAAGGCAAAAAGACATTAGTTTCTTTCAGTCTGGTTGTTAACAAAATACTCTAACCGTTTTATTTTAAAACGTGCCCAACGTGATTTAGATCGTTTTCCCCGGGTGCTCTTTGTATATTAAAACCATTCGCGTTTTTTTGATCAGTTTACTATCAAAATCATAGAATAATGGAGTATAGGTGGTGGCACGAAATTGTCGACTTCCATTAGTGGAAATAGTATTGAGAAATTTGTCTCCCTGTTTCATTTCTATTCCCCGATTTTAAGAAAACGGGTTTTTGGTTTCAAGAGAAATTTGTCGGGAACTAAAATCTGAAAATCTCCCTGGGAAGTAAAATTTCGAAACGTAGCGGATATTTAAAGTCAGTCGAAACCATGTTAAGATTTAAGTTAGCATTAGTACCAAGCAAGACGAAACAACAAAAACAAACCTTATCGGATTTAGCCAGTGTTAGGGTTTGCGCGTTAGAATTTGCGCATACGGTGGCGCTGGCACTGCGCACCACCGCGGTCGCCAAAGCGTCTTGTTGCCCGTGCACAATAGGTGGCACAGTACCGACCGCATTGGAAGCTGCGGTAGGACTGACAGAACGCGGAGGGAGTTCGGGAGGTACGACTGCGGGACGAGACATTGCAACACCACCCTTACCGCTACGTGTGAAACTTACTGGCTGCTTCGTTTCGGATGACGGGTTATCTTTAGAAGAGCAAGGGGGTATTCCCCTGGCCAATGTTACATAATTGCCCGGGAATACGCCACATTTTTGGGTTCTGTTCGAAGTACCTTTATACCAACCGTCTTGGCAGCTAAAAAAAACACACATAAAAGAATCTGTTTCACCAGTCTTTCAACCAATTGTGTTAGTTGAATTTCTATGTTACAAATAATTCAGGGTTTCCCAAACTCAATGGCCTGTAGATGGAGAATGGATGAAAATTAAAAACTGGGTTGCGCCCATAGGAGACTATGAATTCTATTTTCCATTAGAGTTGAAATCCTAAGAAATTGTCAAACTTCGATTGTCTTTATTTTTTGTTACATTACAGAGTTGTCCCATCTAGTCAAACCAGATACGAAGTTTTTTTTTTCTGTGGAATGCCCTATATACTTTTAGATTCCATGGAAAACTCTAAAACCTATGTAACATACATGTCAGCGCCCTTAGCTTTAAGAGGTCGATGCTCTAGGTGTTTTAGGTGTTTGGAATATTTGGAATATATTTGGAATATTTATTATTTATCCGTCTAGCCTAAACAGTTATAAAGCTGTCATTCGCAATATTGTGGGAACCCACTTTGGTATTTTTCCGAAGTGAACGGAGCGCTACCCGGCGGATGGTCTTGCCTTAAAAGAAGCACTGGCTAGGTCGGATTTTGAGTAGCCCCGATAGTTTATTTTTGATTGACTGTTTTGTAGTTCATCCAACGGGTCGCGAATTGTTGGAATGCTTTTCATAATCAATTAACTGATTAGATTGTGCTGTGCATTTTTTAATGTCTTAATCTGTATTCCTTTAATTTTCCTTTTTTTTTTACTTTCTGTAATAACTTTTTGTGATACTCTTTTTCTAGCAAATATATGTTCTTATTTATTTACTCTTTCTGAGATTTAAAATGACAATCTTATTATTTAAGTGCGACTTATTCTAAATATAGGACAGGCCTAGTACAAAAGTTGTAAACATTCATATTTGTGCTAGTAAATAAATTTATGCAGGCTGTCCCATTAAAAAAAAACAATTTCAACAGATATCTTAAAATTATATCCTTTATACGCTTCTTAATTCTACGAAAAAACATCTATAAGATAAAATACGAAAGGTGAGGTAAGATTCTTTTAAACGGCATTTTCTTTGAAAAAAGAAAACAAAAAAACAGGTTTTCCATAAACATTGAAAACTCCAAGGTTACATTACTTGGATGTAGTTCGCTTTTAATTTTAGGGTAAATTGTCATAAGCAGTGATAACAAGTGATTCCAACTTGTTAAATCTAAGCAAACTAATACAAAAAAAAGAGTTTGAATACTTACATTTCAGATACCATATAAAAGCTTCCCTTTCTCAATTCAAGTTCGTCCGGTTTTTGAGGTTTATAGGGATAGAGAGCCATGAAAGCAGTAGGGAGCTGTACTTCAGTAAGGGAAGAAACCAAGGAACCACCGCTATTTCTCTTGGCTCTTTCGCATCTGTTGCTAGAAACAGACGGCGTCTGGCTACTATCCACAACAATTTCGGCGGAATGCCTATGCATGTTACTATAATTAAAAAAAGTACTCAGGAATACAAAAAAGTTAATGGAAACTGATTTTACTTTATGGCTTTAGACTCTAGGTTCACAGTCAAATTGGAATTATTCCAAGATATTCATAATGCACAAAAATCGATTGAAGTTTGTTAAAAGTAACCAAGTGGCAACAGGCTTTGTTTACTAAATATAAAAGACCATGTGTTTGAATATTGAAAAAAACAAGGGTACTGTATTAGTGGAGATGCGATAAAAATCTTTTAAAATTGTTATACTGTTAAATAATATAGTGACGCTACTACTGTAAGAATTGCTAAAAATGCTTCTAAATTTCACTCACTAACCAAGACTTTGCGCTATTTGCTTTCTAAACAACAATCTTCACACTCTTAACTCCTTGTGGCAATGATCGGATGGGATCTGGACATATTTTGAGAAAATACTGTCGTTAAAATGCCGCATCCAAACATCTGTAAGCGGCCAGGTTGGTTGTTGGATGCGACAAGGTCATTGATAAAAAACCCTAAGTTAAATCTCACGCATGCGCATGTTAAATGAACCTTATCTATTTTTATTTTTCATAGTTTCATAAGTTCCTGTATTATCAGCATATACAGGGCCTCTATTTATCTAATAGCTACAGTATTGGAATAAATTAAAGCAACTTTTTATAATTGCCACAAAATTAAAGCAACTTTCTTTTATTGCAAACAATAGATAATGAGTCAGTACAGTTAATATTTGGTCAATATTCTTTATTTGCAATCACAGAGCAACGTCTATCAAGTCTATTAATGTAGGTCCCGACGTTTTTAATTTCTTCGAATAAATCTAAAGTAGTGACTAAATATTAAACCGAAAAAATTGCTTAAATTTTATTCAAAAATAGAAACATCACAAAAAATGAAATAAGAAGTAATGCTACATTTCACTCTTTTATCTGTATTTCATGTGTTGGATTGCAAAGATATTAATAAAAAAAACAATTTAATTGAAATTAAGGGTGTCGTGGCTAAATACAAAAATTATAATAGTTGCTTTAATTTACTATTTTTTATACTATTTACTATACATGGGTTCGGCAACATGATTTCTATCTGGGCAGGGGAATGCCAGAGTCATCTGTTACAAATGTCTAGAGTTATCATAGCATTGATGAACTAAGAAGAGCCCTTTTCAATTCTAAGTTTGTTTTTGGTCTAACAAATTTAGATCGGGATTCATTTTAATTATCTGTAATATAAAATTACTTCTCAAAATAATGCAAGAATCTCTTGTCAAAAGTTCTATGCATTACAAGTGACAATTTCAATATTTAGCCGTTACTATCTCTACATGCTTAAATGTTATGGACAAGTTTGTTCTATGGTGATTCATATGTAATTCTAGACCCATTTACATATGTCAACCTTATAACCATATATAGAGGCCTCAGATATGCTAATAATACAGACGCTTTTGAATCAAACATCAAAAATGATGAGGAACAAGCAATACACGTATGCGGGAAACATCTTAAAAGTCGCCTTCAAACAACAAGACCTTGCAGTGTTCAACAATCAACATGGCCCCTGGCAGTTCATCAATTCGCCAGTTTCGGTTAGTTTGGGTATGACATTTTTTTCCCAAAATATGCCCAGACGCCTTAAATTTCTAGGGAAATAACGACTTAGGTGTAAAAAGTCCCTTAAAAAGAAATTGATGCAAAGTGAAGTGAAGATCACTTTTTTATGGTATTTACAGTTCCTATATTAGATTTAATCTAATTTTACCTTGTTTATATGCCAAAGACCTTGTTTGTATGACCTGTATTTGGCAGATTTTAGCTAAATATAAATACCACCTCTGTTTAGGTCTCGGTTTCAGCATGCATGGCCCTAATCATTCCACTTTTTTTTCTTTTATTAACAGTGTTGCATTTGAATGAGAAGTAAAAACGTTTTCATAAAAAAAAACTGTTTACAATACAGCAACAACATTACTTTTATGTGTAGATAGTATACAAAGCCAGCAGATTTTATCAAATGGAAAACCTGGGAAACCTGAGTTTATTTTCCGTGCAAAATACAACTATAATATACCTATTTTGCTGCACCATCGTCGGGTTGGTTAAACTATGTCTCTTTTCTTTATTATGGTGATGAGGACGACCATCCATATTAAAATGCAATGCGGTTTTGCCGGAAAGTTTCGCATCTTGTTTCCTTATAAATAAAAACATATAGTTTATTCTAAAAATTAAGCAAAAATACTGAAACACACTTTGCTCTTGGTGATAATTGACGAGCTCTCGGTGGAGGTGAAGCAGGTGACGATGGAGCCGTACTTGATGTAGAGGAAGTGTTACTTGAAGAAACATTGGGTGTTGTGGCTGACGAACCACTAGAGCAATTGTTAGGAATTGAATCAAATGCAGGGTCTGCAGTTTGATGAACATTTTTTGTGTCTGTATGGGTAACACAAGTGACTGAGTGATCAGTTGGGATTAGAGGTGTACTCTCTTCGCTGGTGGGAGTTGGTGGGGCCACTTTTGAAGGACCTGGCTGGACGCTGAAATTATTTTAAGATGCCACGATTTTTGAGAAATGGCTAAACATATCCATATACATACTTGGTTGATAGTTTCATTAATGAACGTGCCAAATTATTCATTTCGACAAAGGCTAAAGGGAAAATTCCAATTCTTCCTTTTAGCTTTCCTTCAGCCCAGTTTTCATCCACCCTTCTAATTACGTTGATAACATTACCCTTACTGAAGGATAAACACCCATCTTCGTCATCGTTTGCCATTTTAAAATCGTATAGTGCCTTGCACTGCGGAATATGACTAGGAACCGGAGTAATTACCTAAAAATCATATAACGAACAAAATACAAAAGTACCAAAACATTTACGTACACGGTGTCCTATTTTCGATTGACTTTAGGTGACCTATTTTTTTAATACTTGAGAATGGGTATAATCAATTTTTAAATAGCACCTATAGTTTCTGAGCTATGAGGGAAAATCGAAAAACTTTAAAAAGTTGCTTCTACCTTAATATGTCGATTTTGTAAACACTTTCGCATTGCAACTTTTTCAACAAAAAAAATGCAGCAATTAATTTGATTTCAAAGCTTAGTTTTTTCAGGAATGTCAACAGAGTCAAAATTTCAAATCGGACCGGATTCAGACCAGATGTTTTCTATAATAATTCCTTTTTTTTTCGGGATGATTTAACTCCCTGTTATGTATTTCTTTTATTTCTGATACCTTTACAATTAAATTATTATTTATTATGGATCCCATAAACATATGATCACAAAAAAACTTTTTTGAGTTTAAGTAGGTTTATTGTTAACTACAGAAGATTATAAAAATCCAAACGATTATAAAGATATCAGGAAAACATAAAATAATAAACAGCATAACAGGGCGGTACACTATTACTTTTTACGTTTGCTGCAAGGCGAAATTATAAAATTAAGTGGTTTTCTTTTTTTTTATTGTTTTCGACGATATTTGTCTTTCAGTACCCTGTATTAATTGTTAACGCAATTACTAACTACAGTCGTTGAAGAAGCGATTTTCTACATATTAAGTTTTTTAATTTAAATTTTAAAGGATTCCATATAGTAAAGATATATATATATATATATATATATATATATATATATATATATATATATATATATAGAAATATCTCAAACAGGATGGAATTCAGCTACGGGACACTCTCTAATTTCACACTATTTAAAATAAGCAAGCTAGCACTCACTAGCACTTTAACCGGTAGTGCCGCAATGTTTTTGCCGCCATGTGGTCAGCGGCAGACTATGGTATAGTTCAAAATTTTCAAATATTTCCTATATCTAGTTTTCCATAACAGATCGCCGATATTCCTGTATATTTAATTAAAGTGAAGTGCAAATATTTGAGAAGAATTTCTGAAATTTTTTACAGCAAGCCACTCACAATAAGAAAATCTGGCTAATATAATTTTCATTTCAAAACAAATTGATCACCTTTTAAAATTTTAAAACACATTCAGACATAAATACAAAATTTTATTACTAATGTAATCTGCCGTCCAATACGAAAAAATGTATCCTGATTTTTTTATTAATATTCATAGCAGTCCTCTTATTAAACTATAAACAATATTTTTAAAACTAATTTTACACTTAAATAGTGCTGACGTGTTTAAGACTTACCTGGACATAACTTAGCGGAAATACTCCTTGTTTCCCACCGCATTCCCCCTGGCACCAATGGCTATCTATTCTCTTTTTCAAAATAATTATATCTCCCTTTTTAAAAGACAAATCGCTGCAAAAAAATATACAATGTTGAAAATATTCTATCATCAAATGAGTGGGAAGGTCATCATTTACAAATAATTATTTATGTCTGTAGGTTTCTAGCCATTTTATGTGTATCAATTAATGCCATTGAATAGGATTTTTAAAAATATTAAAAATGTGGGTATATTTTTTGGTCCTTATGGTATATCCCTTTAATTTTTAATTTGCGCATGTTATTTTTAACAACTATTTAAGCTCAAATTTTACAAAGCATTGCAAACATGTATACATTTGATTTGCCAAATGAGATTTAACATATTGCAATTCTCATATTTTTATTCTCCTTGTAAATAATGCAGAGTAATGCACAACTAATTTACTTGTTTAACTGTGTAAAAGAGTAAACCTACTAAGCAATCCCTACATTTTTTTCTGAGAGTAATCAGATGTAAAAAGCAAAACTAAAATTTTAAAACTTATTCATCTTTATCTAAAAGCTAAAAACTTACCCTACTTCTTTCGATACATAATCGTAAACAGCTTTGGCATAAGGCTGATGAGGTATGGTCTGTTGAGTAGAATGCTTATTATTACTTTTTTGTTCGAGAGCACTCTGCTGATATTTATGAAGCTGATGAACATTAGATAATTGTTGATTTCCTAAACCCCTATGTGACCTTAAAATCTTTTTTGGGCCGGAATTTTTCATTCCCTCCAAGATTCTCATTAGGAGTACATTAGGAGGCAACTCATCTACCTTTAAATTCACCAAAATTCTACATTCTGGGCACCTCAGTTCCTTGTGTTTTTGCACTATCTCTTCCAAACATTTACGACAAAATGTATGCTGGCACGGTAACACTTTACTAGATGTATCCAAACGTTCTAAGCAAACAGAACACTCTAGCAAATCATTTAGAGTTCCCTCATCCATTTTCAGGATAAACTTTCATACAAGACAAAAATCAAACACTATCCGAATATTCTTTGAATTAACATTAAGCACATAGATAAATAACTTATATAAGGTTATTACGGAGACATTTTAAAACACATCAACTGTTTATTAAAAATCGACATTCACTTCCGGTTGAAACAAAAAAGGAACAGTCATTTTCCTGGAAATTCGTTTGGGTGTGGTGATAACTCAAATTGAAAATTTTGTTTTTCATGTTAAAAAACACTACCCCTGAAAATGGTGCACCAGTTATGTAAAGTTCAGCAACTCATTCCGAGCAAATTAACAAATTTTGCAAACAAATTATCCCATCAACTTCTTTACTTGCAATACCAAAGATCACACACAGTGCGCCGAAGATCATAGAATAAAATTCATTGGTAGAACTTTTATAGCGGTCCAATTTATTAGAAAAGAGTAGTGACTGCTTTTTGCAGTCACTTTATGTACCTAAAAGCAGATGTAGAAGCTAAGAGAGATGAACAGTGTTTTCGGAGACTACGACTCAGTATATAATTCTTCCATACTTGGAAACTAACTAAAAGGAACGCGTCTATTTGCCACAGATTTAGAATTTGTCCGATCACAGAAGAGTGTGAACAGTATTTTCTCTCTCTCCTCTAACACACTGAGTTGCCAGTTACCAGGTCAGTAACAGTTTAGGGTAGATTATGCTGACAAGAACGTCTGCGGCTTCTACATATATTTACTTTAAAATTACACGGCATCTAAAAATTAATTCTCTACTGCGAGATTATGATTGACTCAGTTTATCTAACACACAATAACGCGTTTTACCACAAACCGAAACTCAATTTTACGTACTCGACGCGCGTTTCGCCAACCAAGTTGGCATCTTCAGGAGAAGATAACAAATCAGTTTTTTTTATCTTCTCCTGAAGATGCCAACTTGGTTGGCGAAACGCGAGTCGAGTACATAAAATTCAGTTTCGATTTGTGGTAAAACGCGTTATTGTGTGTTAATACAGTGCCGAAGGTTCCAGTCAAGAGTTTGATCAGTTTATCTAATCTTGATTTTGCTGTTACGTCATGATTAGTGCACTAGAAAATGACCAAGTACTAACTTTTTTAATCACGCCAAAAATCACGAAAGGTGGTGGCTACCCTGTCGGAAACACTACAACACGATACGTCATTTCCGGAAAACCATAGATAAAGACAAATGAAAGTACAAATTGCTGCATAGATTAGGGAATATCATTCTTTCTTTCGTAAACTGTCGAAGAAGGAAGATTCAAGTAAGATATATTATTGTTTTATATATTTTCGGTATATACATTATTTTTATTTTCTTGTCTATTCATATCAGATATATAATATTCGACAGTTTTAGTGTTTTTTTTTTAATTGACTGAGCGATAGTTAATATAATTAATGTGTGTGCACGTGGAGGCAATTTTCAAGGCATGTCTAATCTTAAGCAATTTTTTTCTTTTTAAATAGTATGGCGGACGCAGCTCCAGCCGGTGGACGTGGTGGTTTTCGAGGAGGATTTGGTGCAGGGGGCCGCGGTGGACGTGGAGGCCCGAGAGGTCGTGGACGTGGTCGTGGCAGAGGCCGTGGTCGTGGAAAAGAAGATCAGAAAGAGTGGATTCCTGTTACTAAACTCGGCAGATTAGTCCGGGACGGCAAGATTCGTTCTCTAGAAGAGATATATCTTTTCTCGTTGCCGATAAAGGAGTATGAAATTATAGATTTTTTCATCGGATCAGAACTCAATGATGAGGTATTTTTTTCTATAATTAGTTCTTATGTACTGAATTTAGAAAACAAAAAGGCAGGAGCGCATAGGTGTTAGAATATTTAATTAATTTGTATTTTGTAGGTGCTTAAAATTATGCCAGTACAGAAACAAACCCGTGCTGGACAGAGAACTCGTTTCAAGGCTTTTGTAGCTATTGGGGATAGTAAGGGTCATATTGGTCTTGGAGTTAAGTGCAGCAAAGAAGTAGCTACTGCTATCCGAGGAGCTATCATTTTAGCAAAATTGTCTGTGGTGCCAGTTCGTAGAGGATATTGGGGTAACAAGATTGGTCAGCCTCACACTGTGCCTTGCAAGGTAGACTTTTTCTAAAAATTAATGTAAATGGTCGGCAGATGATCTATTCATATATTGATAATGTAATAAATATTGGTTTTATTTTTAGGTTACAGGCAAATGTGGCTCAGTTACAGTACGTCTGATACCAGCACCACGTGGAACTGGCATTGTGTCGGCTCCAGTACCGAAAAAATTACTACAGATGGCCGGCATTGAAGACTGCTATACTTCGGCCAGGGGATCGACTGGTACTTTAGGAAATTTTGCTAAAGCAACGTATGCTGCCATCGCAAAGACGTATGCATACCTAACACCTGACTTATGGAAAGATATGCCATTGACAAAGACTCCTTATCAAGAATTTGCTGATTACCTGGTGAAGAATCATCGTACAGTGACCAGTGCTCCCCGTTCTGAAGCACTTTAAGGAGTGTTTTTTTATATGCCAGCAACAAAAAATAAAAAATTGAAGGAAACAACTTCGTTCTTACTTATTTATATTGTACATTTTTTAAGGTAAATATGATTAGCTGGTCCTCCCCTAACCACTTAAATTTATTTAATTTCAATAAATAATTGTTTACATTTTCGTATAAGGCACGCAAATGTTGCAATGCTAGATTACCCTGAATCATTTTGTATAAAGACTGTTCCTCCTTTTTTTTTATCCAGTTCAAATGAAATTAGTCAAAAGTCAATGTTGCATTGATAACTAGGGTCATAAATTTGATGAATGAAAATATTTTTCACAAGCTATGCTAAAAAACTGCTACCCACTTTCATAGGATTTTGTAATCTAAGATATGCATGAAGTACTTGCATAACATCACTGGAATTTAATATAAAATTATATATGAGAAATGTTTGAAACTAACGAAATATAAGTCAGCAGTTGAAACCTTAACATTTTCAAAATAATATAATGAAAAAAACTAAAGCAAAAAAATGGCAGGATGTAGAGTGAAAACCTGTGATTAGAAACATTGGAACTGCATGTGGTAAAATAGGTGTTATTTTAAAACAATTTAAAAATCCCGTACCATAACACTTTAATAACAAAGTCTGTTTTATTTAAAATTATATATATATATATATATATATATATATATATATATATATATATATATATATATATATATATATATATATATATATATATATATATATTTAAAACTTGTTCATAAACTTTTTTTTGCTCAACTGGCATATATGGAAAAATAACGGCCTATGATACTTTAGTTTATTGAAATGTAAAGAAGTTAAATGTTACAGTTAAAATTTTATGTATTTTGACTAATAAGAACTTTTGAATGTTATAAACAGATAATGCAACTTTTTATATGTGCACTATTTAGGCACCACTCCGACGTAATAGTTTTGGGCGGTTAAATTCTCTAGAAATGCGGAAGATTGCATAAAAAAATATTTAAATACGCACAAACAAAACAAATATAAATTGATAAATTTCAGTCATCATAAGCCACGCAGGAGGAATCTAGATGTCTAAATAATATATTACAGTAGCCTGTTGAAGTTTCTTTGAAAAATTATCCATTAATTTGTTTACCAAAAAAAAAGAAAGATTCCTCTTACATTTCCAATGTGCAAGTTACGCCGAAATTTCAAGTTTTTTTTTGGTTACGAAAGTTGTCTACTGTGCGTGTCAATCGATTTTATTTTTTAAATTTAGTTATTGTTCTATTCATTCCTTAAGCTCAATATTTTATGCTATTCCACTGTGACCGGAAATGTCACCACTTTTTATGAAGAAAGTAGTAACGGATATTGAAACCTGTGACCTGAAACGTCACTACTTTTTATGAAAAAAGTAGTTATAGATATCGAAACCTCTTCAACATTGACTATGTTGGGTTCAATGATGAATTACCGTCTTGAATGGAAAATCCCATATGGCTATTAATTATACACCCCTAGTAGGATAAAAAGTGCACTTTATTTCTAAACAGGGATTTCTTCACACTTAACTCGTTTTCTCAGAACATTTAACAAGATCTGGGCAGATTTTGAGAAAATAATGCATCTAAATTGAAACCTACGGAATTGACGAACTGTCGGCGACCATCATGGATGTTGAATGCTACTATTGGTTAACAAGAGTTCAAATGACCACGCATGCGCATATTAAAAGGTCAAGATCAATATTACATTCAGACTAGCATCCATTACGACAGATACCAATATAAAATTAAAGTATTACAACACATGATTAGTTTTCAAATGAAATTCATTTAATATTGTTTTTTTTTTTTGATCGAGGGTTGGGATTTAAAGCGCAAATAAGTCAAAGTCTGTCGTCTATGATGCAATAATATATTTGAAAAAAAATTAGGTCCTCTTGTTACACATCACCTCAAAAGTAATAACCTTACATTTTTATATAAATATGTACAAGGTACTATTATGATCTAGTTCAAGGTCACTTTAAGTTACTTTGGAGATACTATGATCCTATTACAGCAGAGGAAGGCTTACAAAATATACAAGGTCTGGAAAATGTATCAAAATATATAACATTATGATATAATGACTATTTGGCAATCAAACCTTTACATATGCTATAAAAGGTGTTATGCGAGAACGATTTGAGCTAGGATATGTCTCGGTAATACAACGAACTTGGTTCCATGAATAATTTTTTTAACGTCATATTTGGCAGCTGGATTCGAAAACCTCTCAAGGAGAAGCTGATTCATCATTTTATTCGGAGAAGCGCCCAAATTGTTAAAACAAAATTTGACAAAATGAGACAGCACACATTCTTGTATCTTGTCACTTGTTTTTGTGTCTAAACTTCAGCTGCACAAAAGCCTTTAAGTTCATTGAAAATGTAAATATTGGTGTTATAATATTAAGAACGGTTCTTGCTATTTCCGAAAAATGGAAAACAAAAACAAATTACAAAATGATTTTTGTTCATATTGAGTAAGTTTTCTCTATTTCTTCAACTTTTTAGAAAGATAGAGCGCTTCCACATTTTGCGAATTGAATACCTTTTTCAAACCATGTATAGACAAAAGCGAGTGTCGACGAACAATTAATCTACCTCGAATAGTAAAGACGCCGCATAGACCTAAAAAAAGAAATTACCTGCTGCGTCAGATTTCCACCACTACCTCTATAGACGATTGAATCTTATTTTTTTTTACAGACTCAAAGTTTGGTAAACGCAACATCCTTAAAAATAAAACAAAGTTAAAAAATAACAACAAAACTAGTTTTTAATTTTCGGCACTAGCCAGAACTAAGCAAAAATGTCAAGATTTATTAAAGTATGATGTATGTACCATTTTCATTTGCCTCTTTCAATCAAATGTCTAAATTAGTAATACAATAAATTATAATCAAGGGAGATAACAAAAAAAATCTATCCACCAAGTTGACAAGTAAATTTTCGCTAGTAATTCTACATGCCTAACTATTTTTGTAATCTTTAGGTATTTGAAAAAGAAATTTTACACTATTGGCTACAATAGTTTACGAGTGCAAATTATATAAGGACCAAGCAGCTTTTCTTACTTTGTCAATTTAATTTTCAACAATTATAAGCATTGTATGAAAAAATGAAATAAATATGTGAACAAAGACCAAAACAACTTAAAAATGGAAAATTTATTTAACTGAATTTCTTGATTGTGTGTTTACAGTCACAGCCCTGTTTATCTGGCAGTTCTAAATTTACTACAAAGCTGGTATTGGCACATATATCACAAAGTAGCTGCAAGGAAAACGTTTTAATACTCTTAGTAACACTCAAACAGCAAATATCAAATATTGCTTTTATTTATTTTGTCAACGACTTTTTTAGAAAATGTTGCATTACTATGTATTTGGTTTTGTTTTTTTATCAAAACGGCTTTACTTAAGCAGATGACATAAATTGCTGATGATGCTTATTTGGTAAAGTTTAGTTAGGACGTTGTAACAGTTGTATTGGTAACTTCCAACACCAGTTGAAGATTTGCATACAAACCTTTTTTTTCCTATTGCCAAATAATTCATTTTACTCAGAATTAAAAATTATTATCTCAAATTGCAAGAGTTGCGAATGACTGATGCGACAGAATGTAAAAACTCGTCAAAATTTATACAAAAATTGACGTTTTAGTACTTCAATATTTTGAAAATTAGCGAGTAGCACTTTTAGCAGAATCTTCCTTCTTTATTAAATTAAATCTAATAAAATGATTACAGCTATAACTTGGTTAATTTAAATGGCATAAAACTAAATCTTTCAACATACCAGAAAATGTACCTATCCCAAGTTCATTAAAACAATTTTTAGCTGCGGTGACTATTTGCAGATCTGATACGAACCTGAAATTGTGTCAAAAGATGTATACTGACTAATGTCCTGGTAATTTGAAAAAAAAACCTTGCCATTTAAGTTATAGTCATTTTGACTATTGTGAAACAATAGATAAGTGGTGGTAGGGTTAAATAAATTAAGTTGGTTCAAAGGGAATGATTCAGAACCAGCACGAAATAAAAAATTTAAGTGATGCAAAAATTACATTTACAAAAAAAAAACAATACAAAATGCAACTGATTAAAAAGTGATATAATAATTTTAATTTCCAAAAATCTTTATGTTACACCAATTTGATTTAAAATGATCAAGTTGATAAGAACAACAACTATTGCAAATAATATTTTATGGCTAATTTCTAAATGCAAGGTCCCTATTATACAGCGATAGAAAAAACACCAAAATTTATAAAATCTGTAAAATATACTCTGACCTGTAAAACCACTTTAAAAATTTATATATTATAAATATTGAGGTAGCGAAATTTTACTTGAGATGGAGTTGATAACAAGAATTTCTATTTTTTTACAAAAACACAACAAAATTATATGATAAAAAGTTCAATGTTTATCTCAAAAGCGTGTCAATCAAATAATAATGATAATAATAAAATTAAATTAAATAACTTAAGATTAATAAAATATACAAGATATACATACAATGGTACATATGCACACATGATGTATATATATATATATATATATATATATATATATATATATATATATATATATATATATATATATATATATATATATATATATATATATATATATATATATATATATATATATATATATATATATATATATATATATATATATATATATATATATATATATATATATATATATATATATATATATGTATATATATATATATATATATATATATATATATATATATATATATATATATATATATATATATATATATAAACAACAATGACTAATATCTTAGTATGTTTTTTTTTAAAACATCCACAACCTGCGAGATGCGGATTTGATTTTTCTATAGGCCTATTTATATTCAGCGATGTACAAATAATCAATAATACTGTGTTCTTCAGAACGTTCGCATTAAATGAGAAAAAAATGTATTACTAAGGGAGAATTTTAACTTTGGAGTTAGCTCTTTCTTTCATCACAAAAGACCAACAACAAAATCACGCCACTTTTGTAGCATTTACTACTTTTCCTAAATGGCAAATATATATATATATATATATATATATATATATATATATATATATATATATATAATTTTGTTTCAAAATAACCATTTTTAAGGCAGTCATTTTATATTTTAAATAAAATTATTTTTTATATAAAAGCTAGAACCAAAAAAAAAATTGCAATACAAAAACTTTATAAACGACTCTTTAAAGTACTATTTGTTATGTTTTTGAAGCCAAAGTTAAAATTCAAAAATAATAAAAATGTTTCTCATGTTGTGCAAACTTTCCGAAGGACACTGTGTATGTATATATATATCTATATATTAGCGTAGCCATATTTACAAAAAATATACAATATATATATATATATATATATAAATGTGGAATTTACTAGTAATTGTAAAAATATTACAGTACTGCACCCTATAAGTCATTTAACAAATACATATTTTTTAAAAAATGAGGGGACCTTTTACTTAAGAATGGTCGCGTTACCACCGCCCCACAGCCGAATTCGTACTCTTGGTATTTTGTTTGTCCACCATAATTTTAATTATTCATCAATCAAGTTGGAAATCACACAACTACTTTAGCAATCGGACCAACCACCGGAAATGATATTAACTATTTAAGTTAAATAACTACAAAATCATTCAACCGAGCTTTAATCTTCTTAAAGAATCTAGTCTCCATTATGCTCTATTAGTGACGAAGTGGCATCGGCCATTTTGGTTGGAAACTGAGACCCAAACAAATCAATTTGCTATATAAGTTTCTATCAGGGTTTCAGTTTTTATGCATTTTTTATTTATTAGCAACTATTTAACGGCATTCGTGATTATTTATTGGTTACTATTTTGTAGGTATCAAAAATGAAAATGATTGTGGTAGCATTTCGAATTCATAATAACTACCATAAATTTCACACAAAAGCTGAACTCACAGTCAGTATAAACTTATGTGGCAAATCTGTTTGTTTGCATCTCAAAGTTCTACAGCTGACGTGACATTAATATGGCGTATTGCGCCAATGAATATTGACATCTTGGGCCACTTTGGGGAGACTCGGAGAGCATTAGATATTTGTTTTTGATCGGAAGGCATTTATTTTTCCGATGATTGTTCAATTGCGAACACCTATTTTCGAAAATAATAAATTTTAAAAATATCGTGTCAAACGTAACTTTACAACGACCGTTTTAAATGAAAACGCTAGATGATTACGAAATGGTGATCCCAAAATTGACACGATTCGACTGCGGCATAAATGAGTCGCCAATTAAACGGACCTACCTATTGCTAGGTATAAGTAAAATTTAAGTTTCTCTCATGTATATAAAATTACTTCTAAATTCGGTCAAATTTACAACTGTGTACCCATTGACTGTAAATTGACTTAGTGCTTTCTTTGGCATCTTTTATTTTCTAGCAATGTCTTTATTTACAGTTCGATGGATGCTGCTTCTCTTTTGCCTCCCTCTTGAGTCGCCTTATGCCTTCCCTAACATACCTTACTAAATCTATTAGAGAACTGTGCATCGTCAAGGGTTTGCAATGTCTATCCAGCTCGATAAAAAACTCTGAAAACAAATTAAAAATATTACTCGTATATTAAAAGAACGGCATAATACCATATACGCATATCTTCTAATATCGATTCTAAATACATAATGAATATACATTTTTAGCGGGGTATCTTTACTTATCTTTAACAATGGAAAGTAAAACAAATGATAACATTAACGTAATTTCCGTGAAGTTTTGCTTTTTGAGACACACGACCTTTTCCATTGGATAACTTATCGAAAAGTTCTATAACCTAGCCGCCTAACCAGAAGCGAACTCATCATCAATCAGAAGAAGAAGGATAAGTATACGAGGTCAGATAAAAAACTTATTATGCAATATTATTTTTTAATGCAATTAGATATATTCTAATTGAGAATATTGTGAGCTTTTAATAAAATTAAGTTGAATACTTATATATTGAATACATAGAATTACTCTTAAAACTTCTTGATTTTTTTCTACATTGTTGTTTTTAATAAGTCAATTTTATATAATCAAAATAGTCTAAAATAGGAATACCTCAAAATGCCCCGTTTAGTATGCTAAAGCTATATTTTCGAAAAGCCTACTTGATTTTCAATCAGAATAAAAAATAACATACAGTGTGCTCCACATTAAAAAATATATTCGAGTGAAATCACTTACTTACTCACTAAATTCTATGCGAAAATGTATTTAAGAAACAGTTAAAGTCTGTTCATAGATATAAGAAAGTGACTAACTGAAACGAATTAAGGAAAGACTCGGGCAAGCTGTAAGAATGAAATATGACCGAACAGGTCCGTACTTTGCTTAGAATTTAATTATTTAGGGTTTTGTTAGGAAAGATACTAAACTATATTTATTTCTTTATGTTTAATTCTAAACTAAAATTACAAATTACTTTTATTACCTACTTAAATTACTTAAAATTATTCACATAATATATCAGTATCACTATCGCTATCATCGCCTGTTCTAATTATTATTGGTTCTATATTATTTGCAATATGGATATAGGATTGTTCTGCTTTTTCTATGTGTTTAACAGAATTTACCCAACTTTGTGGAGGGATGTTAAAAACTTGGGTTTCTATAACTTTGAGGACATTGGAGTTAACACGGGCAAAAACATTGTTACGACGAATGGCAGATTTCAGTTGGTGCCAAACATATTCAATGGGATTAAATATACAGTGGTAAGGTGGAAGCCTTAAAACTGTATGCCCTAGATGCCCCTGGAATCTTCGTGAAAATAAATGTCGAAACTTCGGTTTCTATAAGTTTGAGGACATTGGAGTTAACACGGGGAAAAACATTGTTACGACGAATGGCAGATTTCAGTTGGTGCCAAACATATTCAGTGGTAAGGTGGAAGCCTTAAAACTGTATGCCCTAGATGCCCTAGAATCTTCTTGAAAATAAATGTCGTTGTTATACATATAGTTTTGGATTGTTGCTTTTGTGTGACATGAGGAAGGGGTTTTAGTCAACTGTCTACTGTAATAACTTGCATTGTCCATTACAATTACGCTATTAGGAGAAATGTTTGTAACTAGTTTGTTTTTAAACCAACTTTCAAATAAATCAGCGGTGGTGCTTCATGTTAATCCAGAGAAGAATCTTTAATATTTTTCGCAGACAGAGAAAGTCCATTTGGAATTTAACCATCTTTACCTCTTTTTGATGGCGCGTTTGTTTCATACTTATAAGTTGAGTCAACCAACCCATTTCTGGGGTACCATAAGTGTCGAACCAGGTTTCATCCAAGTAAATAATTGGCCTTTGTTGTCTCTGTAAATCCTAATTTTTTCTAGATATTCCAGTCACCATTTCCGAATTCTAAAAGATTCCATTAAAACTTGCCTTTTGTCTTTTTTTTTAATCTAAAACCCATGTGTTGAATACACTTCCATAAGGTAGTTCTGCCACATTTAACACCGGTTTCATCTTTATCAAGCCTCCTAATTTAAGATATCAAATGTAGGCACGCTTTGTTACTCATATAACTGGTAAATTTTGTGCCGTATTATATCTTAATCACTTTCATCTACACTCGAGAAAATGTCAACATCGCTTCTTTTTTTCCTCGCTGAAATGGGATTATTCACAATTTTCCATACAGTTGATGTAGGAATTTTCGTTAATGTGACCGTTTCTTCTAAAGATGCTTGCTTGCTAGCACCACGTTGAATGAGAGTCAAATAAACATTGTTTATAACTTCCTTAGTCTCAATAGAATAGTGTTTTCTACATTTGGGCGGGAGCATCTCCTGAGATACACTAGACTCGCACATATTTTGCATAATTCGCACAAGATTCAACACACGCTGTATTACACACGAAATAAGAATTATTACTAATAGACTTAAACTTAGTAGAATACCAAACCAAAGAACATTAAACACAGGTAGGTATAAAATTATTTTCTATTACGGACCAGAATTTTACCTGAATTTAAATTCCGAAACTTTAGGTTATAATCTTGTTGCATTGTATGTTAATGACGACCCTTGGATAATCCCATTCAAAAGCAATTGGTAACTTTCTTATATCTATAAACAGACCATACCAGTTTAGAAAGTACACAGGGGGTACATGAAACATTTTTTAAGAGTCATAAATTTGATGCATAGTAATTTAGCAAAACAATATCATTTTGAAAACATAAATATTGTTTTTTTTATAGAGTTTTGCTTTGTTTTGATTATCCTTATTTAGTTTTTAGTTTTAGTTAATTATTTAGCAATTTTTTTCCATTTAAATTGCAAAATAAGAATGTCGTTAACAAATAACATTAATTATTGTACATTTGTAAGGCTGTTCGTGAGTTGAATATGCATGATGATTCACAGACTACTGTAATACTTTTTATAAAACTTCTGGATTCCTCCCGCGTGGGTTTTTGTTGAGTCAAACTAGCTAACGTTTCGCCAATCATCCAGTTGGCTTCTTCAGAGCTTGACTGAAACTGGCTCTCATTTTACTCTGTACCTGCTTTTATATTGTTTGTTAATACATTGAAGATGTTGAGAGACTTTTGGCCAAGTGGTAAATCTGGTTTTGACGTTATATTTCTTTAGAACTTTTGATATGTGGTCAGTGATGTTTTGAATATAAGGAAGGACAACAGTGGCAAGTATAGGATTGCTTTTGGTTTCATTACTTTTGGAAGGTTGTGGTGAAGTGTATTTTGTGATGGAACTCTTAATATATTTAATGTGGAAATTATTAGAGAGAAGAGCAAAGGTAAGGTGCTTTAATTTTGAGTTCAATCATTCGGGCTGAGATAGTTTTCCCTGTCACCAGTATGGGAATCAGTCATCCAAGACAGTGTTTATGCCCCTCATTTAGCTCTGCCCCCCTAAAACAATACAAAAGTAGGTACAGAGTAAGTCAGTCAAGCTCTGAAGGAGCCAACAGGATGATTGGCGAAACGTTAGCTAGTTCGACTCTACAAAAACCGAGGCAGGAGGAATCCAGAAGTTTTATAAAAAGTATTACAGTAGCCTGTGAAAGTTTATTTAAAAAATTAACAACCCTTTATGGAGAGGACACCAAGAGCAAAAGCAGAAAGTTAGAAGATCACCCACTGAAACCGCAAAAATCCTTAAAAAATCAAAACCCCCTAAATAAAGCCTGAACGCATTGACCTAAAATTTCTAAAATCTAATCCCGACATCGTAACCCTAAGAGCAGATAAAAGATAAAAGGTGGTCATGAACACAAATAAATATCAGGAAAAGATTCAAGATATTCTTACAGACGGATCATATCGTCAACTTAAAAAAGATCCTACGTCATTTTTGGAACGCAACCTTAAATCTATTAAGACTCTAAAATTCTTCGTCTCTACGGACTCCCAAAGATTCACATACCAGGATTACGCCTGTCAGCACCATTGATTCTCCAACATATTCTCTAGCCAAATATCTAGCTTCCTTATTAAAACCCCTTACAGAGAAAACTGACAGTTTCGTACTTAATTGAACAATTGAACAATTAAAAAGCATTACATTAGATATACAAGATATTCTAGTTAGTTTCGACGTAGATTCCCTCTTTACCAAAGTTCCTATTTCTGAAACTCTCGACATCATTTCAGATATATTAAAGTTCGAGAATCTGGAACCAAACCTTCTCACCTTAATTGAAAAATGCTTGTCTTGCAGCTTTTCTTATAACGGTCAAATTTTTTAACAAACCTCGAGAACATCTTTGGGTTCTCCACTATCACCACTCATCGCGAATATATCTATGGAAGCCTTTGAGAAGAAAGCTCTGGACACCTTTCACCTAAAACCAAAATGATGGAAACGCTACGTCGATGATACTTTTTGTTATTTGGCCTCATGGTCAAGAAACCCTAGCAGATTTTCTTAGACACCCTAACATACATTTTACCATTGAGTTGAAAACTAATAATAACCTTCCATTCTTAGATATTCTTATCAACAGAAAATCAGACCTAACATTGGGTCATTGTGTTTACAGAAAACCTACGCACACAGACCGATACCTTACTATCGTCGCCTTAGAATAATCGGTTATGAAATCTCTTGTTTACACAGTCGTAAAACTATCTCAGCCCGAGTAATTGAACCCTGAATTAAACCTCTGCTCTTCTCTCTAATAATTTCCACATTAAAGATATTAAGCGTTCAATCACAAAATACACTTTACCACAACCTTCCTGTAGCAATTAAACCGAAACCAATCCCACACTTGCCACTGTTGTCCTTCCTTATATTCAAAACATCACTGACAACATATCAAAACATATCAAAAGTCCTAAGGAAATATAACGTCAAAACCACATTTACCACTTGTCCAAAAATCTCTTAACATCACCGATCAGTCAAAGACAAAATTCCATTTGATATGTCAGGAGTTTACAGCATTCCATGCGTATAGAGCAACGAATACATTGCAGAGACAGGACAAAAATATCAACTAAACTCAAAGAATATGAAAGAGCATTAAGATAAGACAAATAAACTCATCGGCAGTTGCCGAACACAATCACGAAACCGGACATAAAATTTTATTCCATAAAACAATAATTCTTGAATGTAATCAATCAATCCTTCTATGAATGAAAAATCTTAACCGCGACTCAGGTCTCTCCCTGTCACTAATATGGGAATCGGTCATCCAAGACGGTGTTTATGCCCCTCATTTAGCTCCGCCCACCTCAAATAATATAAAACCAGGAACAGAGTAAAATGCGAGCCAGTTTCAGTCAAGCTCTGAAGAGGCCAACAGGATGATTTGCGAAATATTATCTAGTTCGACTCAACAAAAACCGACGCAGACGAGGAATCCAGTTTTTACTTATAAGTATTAATTTTTATGTAATTTTAGGACATTGCGGAAATTTTTTTAGTGGGTATCTGAAACTAAACAGTCGTGGGTCATGGTCATAACAGTGGAAGTTTATTTATTTATTTATTTACGGTTTAACCATTTTACAAAATTTTTACATTACATTACAGTTAATTGGTTAAATTAGAAATTAGAAATAAAAAAAAACAAATTGATGATTGGGTTGTAAATTCTTTTCTTTTTTCTTTACTGGTCAAACTGTTATGAATATAAAGTTCCTAAACTACAGCACAGAACCTAAACTAACTCGAAGGTTGCGTTAGCCATACCAATGGTAAGGAAGTAATCAAAATCTGGTCCGGTGACTAAGAGCACACTTTTGTATGTTGAAAAATAGCCTTCCACTTGCAATTTGGAAGAGTCCTCAATGAAATTGCAAATTCGAATAGAAAATAATAAGTTTTAAGCTTTGAATAATTGAGATTTAAAATAAGAGTTTTGAGTAGGTTTGTAGTTAGGGTAGCCCCAACTTTGCGTCCTTTCTTCCCTGCTCACTTACACCACTCGTAAGCACACTTCTTGAAATAAAAAAAGTTAACCCAACTAATCAAAATTTTATTTAAGTTCAGTGGCTAAAAGGGCAATTTTGTGTGTCAAAAGTCGCCTTCCACTTGCAATTTAAAAGAGTACTCAATGAATTTGCAAATTAAAATAATAAATAATAGGTTTGAACTTTGAAAAAAAATTAATAATTTGATTTAAAACATCATAGAGCCTTAAAAATATAAATATCTTATTTTTTAACATATTACTGCAAACTTACCAGTATGTTTCCCTTTGACCACCAATATATCCGCAGTGTCCCACAAATCTTGATAGCTCAATAAGTAAGTGAATTGCTGATTCTGTTTACTCATAGCGCTGTATACCGACAAAGGGATCCACGTGCCCGCAGAATTCTGAGCATGAGCGGGGGGCGCCGGGGCGGCAGCGGCCCCACTGCCACCTCCTCCTCGTGCCGCCACCGCCAGTTCGCCGCTACTGTAGCCCGACGATTGGCTGCCCACCGAGCCAACCGAACCCGCGGGGGAAGGGGTCGGGGACAATGGCGAGGGTGTATTTTGTCCCTGTTGATGTTCCTGTGGGATCGCGGAGTTCTGAAAAATTTCAAAACATTAAAATTCAATTTGCGTATTAATTTTTTTTATTTTTTAATACCATACAATTAAAGCTGAATAATGGAACGCAAATGTTTCGACTCTAAATGAGACAATTCAGATAGGATTATGGCAATTTTATAACCGATACGATTTGCGATGGCCAAATGCCATAAATGTCGTTAGATTTCTGCCCCAGTCGTAACCATGATATATGTTTGTTGCACAACATGGTATATGGCCAACAGCTACCTTTCCTCTTTGCAATGACTACAGAGATTCATTTTAACCCATAAACTTCTAGCAAAAAAAAAGTTTTCACTTTTAATTTAATTTAATATTTCCCATTTTATTCCCTTTTTCAAACTGTACATTTGTAAATGTCATTAATCAAATACATGTTATAAAGCAAAACGTAACGTTTTTTTTATGTTTCTGCACATTCGGTTTTTACAAATATAATAAGAACTTGCTTTTTACGCTAAACAATTATAATTAACAAACTTTAGCAATTGCATTTTAAGTAAACAAGTACCATATTCCACAAGTACATCAAATTCAAATTTAGAACTCCGCGTGACGTCATGCGCGCGCCGGACAAATTTAAATCTGCCATATATTTGTTGTATTATGGTGAAAGTGTACTAAAGTTTACGCGAAACGCGGATTAATTAACGAGAAAATAGTCTAAAATGCGAGTTGTTAAAATTGTCAAAAATTACACAACAAACATGCCGTATGCTAGAGACGAACTATTTGCTAAAATGGGTTATCAAGTTTTAAGATTCTATATTTAATGCCATAGAATTGGTGTGGCCAAGGTGCAAAATATTTTTTAATAAAACTATTGTAAGAGAGGCAAGGCACGATGATACTGCAGCAGTATCTGTTTGGAAGGTAGCGCTCCAGGCAGTTGCCAAAAGAAAATTAATTAGATCACTTGTATAACATACAGACATACAGAAAATATAATAATAGAATACTGAGAAAAGAATACATCTGATATAATCGTACTGTAGATGAAGGATCAATTTCTGGTAGTGGCAGTTCAATTTTGGCTCTGATGATGATGTATCAACGTAAATATTAACTAAATATGGTTTACTTGCATATTTACTTTATGATATATATTTTTTTAATTATCCGATTTTTTTTTGGTACTTTTTAAATTTTTATTGTATGGACAAGATGAACAATAAATTTTATTCTGTCTGATATTTTATTGCCGACAATGCCATTACAAACCGTACCGACTATAGTTCTCACTAACTAGTCTGTAATAACAAACGTTTTTAAAAAAATCTTTAGGTTGGAATCACCTAACAATAATTGGTCAATCCATGTTGGAAATTTTCTTCTAAATTATGACACCACTTATTCTAGATAAAAATTTAAAATAAAACATTCAATTTCAAAAATTATGAGGCAGAGAATTAGGAATACTAGGAACTCTATGATTCATTGAGCCAGAAGGACTAACTAAACTCTCTGAGCAAGAAAGTGGGGGTGGGTCTCTTTAAACAATGTTTTGTCCAATAAAAAAAACGCATCAACCACACTTACCTTACTACAATACTCGCTTATTACTTTCTGAAGTTCTCTGGCTTCTTGTTTCCGCATTTTAAAAAGTTTGTAGTAGAGCAGCGCTTGGCAACGGTAGCTGCAAAAATAGAATCATAAAACAACCTCATTTTTTATTTATATACAATACAATACGCATTACTTGTCTCTCTGCTACTTTTATGTGGAAAGAGTGGGAGGTGATCTATAATCGACAGTGACAAACTGCACAACTTCCATCACACACACTACCAGTTTTCCTGTGTTTTAAATAAGTATAAAAACTGTGCTTTCTTGAAAGAAGCCGCTGTAATTTAGTTTCAAGTGCTAGCACAGTGAAAGAGTCAGAATGAAAAGTTTTGCTTAAAACGAAAAACATGAATACAAAAATTATCTCCCTTAATATAACCTGCATTTCCATACGCCTTTTTATGATTAATAAAAAAATCATTTTTTTACTAGATATATAGAAGGCTTACTTTTGAAGTCACCATGAAATCAAATAAATCGAGTCAAAAAAAGAATTTTCAAAAATTCAAATATCGTCTTCGACCAATGAGGCCCGAACATTTCAAAGATCTTGCTAAGTTCAACAATCAACATGGCCGCTGACAGTTCATTAATATCCACAGCTTTCAGTTCGAATGTGGCACTTTTTCGTCTGTCTTACTTAAAAATATGCCCCGATCCCATTAACTTTTCTAGATAAAAACGAGTTAAGTGGCTAGGGATGCACTGTTTAGAAAGAAAACAGGACACAAAGGACAGATTAGTGGATAAAATTCTCGGCTTTATGACAATGCTGTAGTGTGACGCCCATCGATTTTACAGTATCAGCTATATGCTTTAGAAATTGTGCATTCTAAATTTAGAGACTAGAGTTCTCAGTCAAAATGTTGTCATTGTTGTTTCTTCCTAAATAGTTTTTATTATCATTTTCTCATTTTGCTTGTCATTATGTATATCTAAGTATGTTTAGTTTTATGCAAAACTGATTTGTCGACAATAATGTCTTGCAATTGGACAGAATCTTTCTGTTAGACAATAAAGCATTATTATAGTTATAAGTAAATAATACTTAATTGATGGATGTATAAACTTTTTAGGGATCCAACGAGATCAAACCTTCACAGAAAGACTAATATCAAAATGAAACAGCACTTGTGTTGTAATGAGGAGGTCGAGAGATTCAACTACTTTATATGAAACTATGTATAAGAACTTTTTTATAATGCAATTGTGCAGTCCTTATAGCACAAAAGGGCATTATTAGTTACATTTACAACTTACATCCATCGGTACATATTTGTTTACAAAAATCCTCAATTTGTTCAAGGAAACTATGATCCATATGAAAATATGCACAATCATACCAGAAGCAGAGAAAATCTGGAAATTCGAGCTTCACTTTTTGTGAAAACACTCGCTTAAAAGCTTATTTAATTTAATACCTAGGAAGTATGGCCTGTGACAAATTTCAATTGGAATTGGAGGTTTGAACATTATCTATGTGTATCATCTTTTTAGACAATAAATGAAACTAAATTCAATTCATAAAACTGCGATTAACGCTCTTACCTTAAAACTGCAAGTTTACTGTGTATGCTCGATACAGCTTGCTGGTTTCCGAACTTGGACGAAATGAATTTTATCAACGCTAGAGTGTCTTTGTACATCGTAAAGGCCGACTTTTCCGTCACGGTTTCTTGTTCCATGGCGTTGCCCGTTAACAGGAAAAATAAAACCGCTTCTAAATAAAGCATGCACTGGTTAATGGCGTCGGTTTCCTTGTCGGCCATGTGTTTTAGCCGTTTCGCATCGCTCAGGTACTGATTCTGATCCCTACACATCACAAAAATCAAGAAAGTAAATTTTTACAATGTTCTATTTCGATCGAGACTCACCGCTCATCGTATTCGGAAGGCTCGTCGAAGTGTTCGAAGTACGAATGGTATTCCCTAGTGACGTTTAACTGAGATCTGCTACTAGAGGCCACTGGTGATGGTTCGCGCGAGAGGCTTTTCACTTTGTCCCGCTCGTGATTGGTAGGCGGGGTGTTTATCGAATTGAGATTTTCCACTAGCTGAGATCTTTCGTCGTATTCGTTTTCCGTCTTCCGTTTCTTTACCATGGGACTCTTTTCTTTATTCTGACGATCTAATCTACTGTTCTGAGATATATTGCTTACCGTCGACATCGACGATATTGAACTATTGCTATTTCGACGCTTCCTCCTTTTATGCCTGTGTCTTTGATCTTGGTGAGACGAGTTTTTACTATCGATATCCTTTGCTGCTGCCGCCCGTTCAGGCTCGACTTCGCAATCACTTTTCGCGTCCGGCATTTCAGTCTTAAGTTTAGTTTGATCCTCTTTTGATTTAAGTAGACTTGGTCTGATGCGTTCCAGGTGCTTCCTTAGGACAGGAATATCATCCAAGTTTATTTTCGCCCAATCGATTTGGACCATGACGGAAGAGTTTTCTTTGAATATGTTGCTTTTTAAGCAGTGTTCAGTCTTTACGGGTTTGATCGGGTCCGCGACAAACCCGGGCGAGGATGGCCTGCAGAGCGGCATTTGGTTGCTCGATACTTTCACTTCGCCGGCCGAAAACGGGGATAAGAGAGTAGGATTCGATATCACCGGCATGGCTTCTTCTTCGACTGATGAGCTACTCCTTTCGTAGTCGCCGTCGACTATTATCACATTTACCCCACCTTTGCCTAAAAAATGCCAATTAATAAATTACTTTGTACATTTGTATTACGGTTAAGACAATTATATATAACGGGTTCGTCATCCAAAATAAAAGAAAAGTTCACATAAACGTAGGTCAGGAAATGTTTAGTTTCCAAGATACGTGGTGTTACAATATGTTAAAAATTATATCATCGGTTATACTAATAAAGAGCTAATTTCCCTTTAACTAACGATTAATTTTTGTTATTTACTTTGAATAAGCAAGCTGCCAAAAATATAACTGTTATGACTCATGGGATGTTTTCCTATCTTTCCTCGATTTCCAACGAGAAAATATAAACAGCAAAAAAAAACAATAAATTTATTTCTCAAAAATTAACACTAAAGATAATACCACGTCAGGATTTTTCCGTTCGACTTTTCTAAAATACAAATATATTAAATATATAAATAGATAAATATCTTGGAAACTAAGCATTTCCGAACCTACGTTTATATACACTTTTTGTTCTTTTGGATCACGAATTTTCAACCAAGAGTTAGCACATTGTTTCGAAACACCCTCCTAAATAATAGTTAACTGCTAGCATTTCATATTTACCTTCAGTCACTTTGTGCGACAAAATACTACAAATGCGTTATTTATCCAAAATTTGAGATAGCCGATTTAATAAAAATTACATGAGCATGGTGGTTCATTGATAAGTGTATATACCTTACCTGCATATAAATAAATAAATAAGGTCTTTTATGTTACAATAGTAGTTAACTACAGCATTACAAAAAAGGAAAAAGGCACGGGATGTCTTATTGTTTTCGTAAATTTTTCTTCAACTTTGGAACGATAGGGTATAAAAAAAAAACAAAATTTAGTGAACGCGGTTAGTATAGCGGATTTTCAGAATTCAAAAACCACATCCAGTATAGCAAAATTATGAAAATCTGTTTAAAAAAAATCTGTTTTAATCGGTGGTAACAACATAAAGCAAGTAAATGTAGAGGATATCAAAAATCAGAATGATTTAATAGATATAAATATCACCTTTACCAGTTCCATTCAAGAAGTTCAACGATTGACACCGAAGGACTATAGCTATTGCTTAAATTGAAATTATAGATGGCTTAGCTCAAATGTTGTTTATTGATTAAATGCAATTTGCGTAATAATGGTCAGCTTGTTACAAAATAACAGAAAGACGCCACAAATCACCGAAGTAAATGAAGAAGGGGTGGATGTGTCGAATGGTTACCCAAAGGCAAATTCAAAACTGTCACTATGTAGTAACTTTGTGCTTGTAGATTAAATGCAAAATCTTCAAGTTTTTTTTATTATTAAAGTCGTGGTACCATTTGTTTTTAAATATTAAAAACGCGAATAAAATTTTATGAAACATTTCGCATTATTTTGAGTACCCTGTTACATAAATCGGCCAGCTTGTACATATTTACGTATATACCGGATATCAAATTTTGCGGTGATGACCAAAACTAACCAAAATGTTTACTATAAACAGTGGCAGCGCAATAAGACCAAAGAAATTGGTGGTATTGAGAGGTATCTTGGATAGAACGAAGATTAAATATTTAAATGTCAGCGGTAAGAACCGTTGCCAATAACCGAGTGCGATTAAACGCGCTACATAAGCTTACCTTTTCCGCCTTTGCCGCCTTTCGCTCCACCTTTGCCGCCGCCTTTGCCCCCTTCGGAGTCCCGTTTCGGTGTAAAAAGTTTCCTCAAAGTGTCGCTTTTCTTTTTATCCGCTATGGATTTATTTTCGTCCACCTTGACCGGAACATCCAACTTCACCGGTGTCTTTGTGTTAGTATTAATATCACTGTCGGAATCACTAATTTGATGAACTTGCGTGTCGTAATTAGAATAGGAGGCGACACTCGAGTTCCTTTGCCTCGTGTTCCTGGAACTATCATGATCACTATCACTGGAATCCGAAGTGGGAACGGTAGCTGCGCTCTTGTACTCTCCGGCTGCTTTGGCACTCTTTCTTCTAAATGGCGAACTTCTCTTCTCTGGCCTTCGACGGTTTTCGGATTCGCTTCTACAACGTATGTACACTTCAGTTATTTTGATCAATAATGAAATAATAAAACATGGTACTTCAAACTACCCATTTGATACATTTTTTATTAAGCACTTAAAAATATGCGTTTAAGCGAAAAATTCGATAAAATTTATCAGCAATCGATACCGATCGATACATTATTTTGTGATCAACACCAAAGTAATTTATATGTTCAATCTGGTCGTGACTGGAGCGTTTTATCATGTAAACCCCATTTTTAAACTAGAACAAAATCAACTACATGTCCATCGGCTTTTTGAAAATTGCCGATTGCTTTTTTTATATATCAGTCAAATTCAGTCAAGTTAGATTTGTTCTTTTGTTACAATCCCCTTATATTATATATGCTCAAAGTTTAAAAAAACAAGGTCAATTTAAAATAACCTTAAATGAAAGATACAAACCCATGAAGTCTTTAATATTTGGTTAATTTTCATTTTTATAATAGATTTTGAATAGTATAAAATCACCATTATTATTAGTCGAACAGTAGAATGTATTCAAAACAAAAAATTAGCTATTAGGAACGTACAATCTGATTGTATTGGATTTAGAACATGATTTAGTATCATGGAAAATCTGTTCGATGATCGGAAGCAGTCCATTCACAAATGTGTGTTTTTGTTGACTGTCACTTTCTACCCATTTTAGGAATGAATTGTACTTCCATTGCATCAGACCCAAGATATATTAATTGGGGATGACTAATACTCAAATTTCACTTGCATCGGAAATGATAATTAATGAATGTGTTGAGAAAACTAATGAAATGAGAGTGACCAATTAAGTGAGAATATTCGGGGTACCATTATATTTTGTGGCGCTACTCAAGAGGTCCCCAATTTGGACAAATTGAGTTACGACATAGTATTCCTATTTGTCTTTATCTGTGCCAGTTGACGTAGTTGAAAAAAGTTAAAACGTTTGGTATTTATTGATCTGAAGGAATTCGCGATTGACACAGAAAACCTTAAAATTACCGGATTTTTTAAAAGAATGCCCAACAAAGATAAATTGAAAGTGAGGTTAATGCATAGTTCAATCTTTTAAGAGTCCCTCTCCTATAATTATGATTTTATTTCCATTCATTCAATGAGTATTTTGTTTTTGATCCTTTTTTAGTTTTTATTGGAAAAGAAAATAATGAAAAAATTTGTGTCTATAATCCAGTCTTTATTTTTCAGTTACGGTACATCCTGCGACTATTTATAGACACCTAAAAGCAGGCAACCTCTATGGATGTTTCGCTGTTTATTAATTATTATAAATTATTTATTATATAAATAAAGCAATATTAATTATAAAGCATGGCGATTTTCTTGCTTTTCCCTAAAATTCTAAGATTGCCCGCCACTTAAAACCAGAAAATTAGTTCGTCCAGTGATGGCGCTGGTGAATATTCTAACCGATTTTGTTTCTACATTGTTATGACTGTGGTTTAATAATACTATTAAAGCTTAAACGCAATATGGATACATAAAATTGTATTCCGCTTTCTTCAAATTGCGAATAATTGAATGAAATAAGAATTAACCAACATTCCTATTGACGTTGTTAATTGCTAGTAGAGAATATTTCGATCTTAACCTATATGAAGATTGTCTGAGTAGCATTGCACGAGAATCCGTGTTTTTCGACGTTTTCGTTCAAATTATTATTGTGTTGGATTTTAGTGAACAGATAATGTCTTTTTGATGATATGTGTCCCGCGGTTTCGCCATTTTCTCCATACACGCCGGTAACCATTCCTGATGGGCCTGGAGGTCTGGGGTGGAAGCGAGGGGGGCCGTGTTTTATGGTATCGATTAAAAAAACACGAATCGTTAACCTTATTTGAATTAAACTTTATACATTGTTGTAAGCTGGCCGAATTGCCTTATATTACATTGGGAAATGAAAGTGTAAGGAAGAAGAAGAACCTGTATGAACTAGAAGAATGAAAAGAATTATTTTCGTTTGTGTTCCTAACCTCAATATGTGTCGTATTTGTTTTTAAAGTTTTAACACGGGTAACAATTAAGTGTTTTTTTTGCTTTTGTGAACTTTGTGAACGTTTTTAAAACGTAAGTGTTATCGACCCTGCTACTTCTGCTACTGACGCCGGATCAAAGTTCGAAGTTCTTTAATACCATGTTGTAGTCAATTGATTGGTCAGTCAACAGAAATCTGTGGCTAAATAAAGAGTAAATGAAGAATCTTAGTATTTTGGTGGGTAGCATTGCATGTTGCATGGCTGTTTCTAGCCTGCTACCTACAGACACCCTGTTTTCGATGTTTGGTGACTTTTCCCTCAAAATGCTGTTGTGCGTTGAAATGTGACAAACAGAATTGATTAACCTTATTTGTATAAAAGTTGAAATATGGTTGTAAGTTGACCGAATGGCCTGACGTGGCATCGGCCAAAGGAAGGCTAAATGGAAAAGAACTTTACTATTTTGCGTGCCTAGATTTACCTTTATATAGAAAAAGCAGAACAAAAAAAAAAGAAAAAAATACAACCACAGAATAATTGCTTATTTCTGTAATTCTTCTACTTACTGCAGGTTGATTGAATATCAATATTTAAGTGTCCATAAAAATTGAGGCTAAAGGTGTTCAAAATATTTGATTTCTCTTGACTCCTTTCTCTAAAGGTTATTATGTATTCACTGAATTTCAACATACAACAAAAATGTCTACATGAAAATTTGCAAAGGGATTAAAATATTTTTAAACAATACTAATCACTTTCTTACTCAAATAAGACGAAATTATCAATATTGCTGGTCAATAAATATGCTATAAATAAGGTCAGAATAATTTGGCAATTCATAGGGTTAAAAGTGAATAACTAGATTATTATTATTATTCAGCCAAAAATTCGAAACAAAATCGCTATAATTAACTACAACTCTCTTTATTATTGGTTTTCTCTATGGTTGCCCGAACACAATGAAAATGAGTCTTTTCAGAATTTCTAAACTTTTGCGTGGCAATAACTTCCTCGTCATTAAATGAATCTTATGTCAAGTGGTAGGCGGTATTTTGTAAGTGGAAATAGTATTTGTTTTTAATTTTAAACACCATAATTACCTATCGGAATGCTTTCCGTCGCGAAATAATGATTTGACCTTGGCTTTGTTCTTTTCACCCCACTCGTCGTCAGAATCGTTTTTGTTTCTTTTCTTTTCTTCAGTTCTGGGAGATTTTTGTTTCTTCTTGGGCGATTCGAATCGATTCGAATCCCGATCAGACTCTGGTCGATAAACGAGCGATCTGACCGGCGACCGGCTATCCGAATCACAACTACTGGAAGATTCCTTTTTGGATTTAGTCCTGCGGCGCGGGGGCGCCAGTTTCTTCTCATATTCCTCGTCCTCCGAACTGCTGGGTAGAGCTTGTCGGATTTTAGGAGGTCGTCCCCTGCAAATGGACAGACTTCAAAACATCATTTATATACATTACTATTGCGTATGTAGTGTATATACCGTGAACGCTCGATATAAGCAACATCCAATTCAATTCAAAAGAAAAATCTGGTGCTCACAAGAACATAACCCCAAATTGTAAAAAAATATTTTATTGGAATATGTTTGCGTTTTATGCTGCTTGGCAAACTTATACACTGCATATTGATATATTCATACTTTCAGTAACTCGACATTTGGATATAACCCGAATTTGAAAGTTATGTTTTTCCCTCTAATAATTTCTAAACTTTCAGAAGATGATATTCCCCCGGAACAAGTGAGGCAAGTTCTCATTTGAACATTGAAGGAAATCCTGACGTAGAAAGTCAAACTACTTCTGTTGAAGAAATTTAAAAAACATGGAATGATTCCAATAAAAACATTAATGACGTTATAAATTCTTTTAATTTGGTGATAGAATGGGCAAAAGAAAGTGACTGGCCCTGCAATGAGGTTATTTTATTACAAAGTATAAGAGAAAAAGCTATAATGAAGAAATATATGTAATTGTTTTATTTTGTTATAGTAATTAGTGCCAAATTTTTACTACAATTTGATTGTTTATTTTTTTAAATAAAATTAATAACTACGCTTATATGACAAGAATAATAAAATGAGTTATTTATTCTACACAGTTTAGGTAGTAAAAGAGATAAGTGAAAATATTTTCCAGGCGGCAAATATTTTTATACTGCTTTTTTTCATATATGCAACTTTTCCAATATGGAGCTTTCACTGTACTTAAATTACCAATTAGAAGTTTTAAATGATTGAACATTAAACTATAAACAAAAATATTGAGAGGGCCCATTCAGCATGCGGATGCGAGATATTTAAAATGTCGTTTTTAACCAATGATCTTGCGGCATTCAAAAACCAATATGGTCGCTATCAGAATATTTACAAGTTTGAAGGCGACATTTTTACGGCAGTATTATCCCGAAATATGTCCAAAAGCCAGAAGTTAAACGTGTGGATATCGTGTGTAATATTCTGATTTTTATTAAACCTTTAGCCTAGCTGATATATCTTTAGATGATTGTTATAACGAAATTTAAATTTAAAAAAGTTTAAATGAGTAATAATAACTAAATTAGGTTAAATTTTATATTTTCTGCAAGTCTGTTGTTTTTTTTTTAAATTTAAAAGTATGATTTTTATTTAAATGGAATATTCTGTATTTCATCATTTCGCTTATGGATTCTATTTATGATAAATCTTATGTTAGATGATATAGGGTCTAAATTTGGTAGTGCATTTCGGTATAAAAATTTATATATTCATGAAGTTAAAAAATGAAACACTTATTACTTTCTAAATGGCATACCGCATACCGTAGGCCACACTCACAAATTAGAACCTTGGCTAGATATGTTGCATACCTATCTTGAATAGATATCGAAAATTTTCAATTTTTCCAAACGGCAACTTTTTTTTTGTAATAAAACGGTTGAATATACCTAGCTTTAATAAAACAAAAGAATCTCAAGTATAAAAAATACGTACAAAACAAAAAAAATAACCCGAGCTGTTATTATTATTGTTACAACATAATTTTTTCAGCTAGTTTAAGTAATGGTTACGTAGCTAGTGTTGCGTTTTTCTGTAGATAGATATTTAAAATATTATATGTATTTTATTAAAATAGGACATAAAACACCGTACTTATCGAATATTATAAAAGATAAATGGATAAAATTATTTATTTAAGAAAATATATTTGCATTTTACATCTAAAAGTGTAGTAATGGGTACTACATATTTATAAACAAACCTGACTGAAAAAAAACTTATCTAAATCACGATTAAAATCATGATTTAAATCACTTGATTTTTTAATTTAAAGTCGTGATTTAAATTAAACTCCTATTTTTTTAAATCTGTTTCATTGAGACCAACACACAATGCACTACGTAAAAATAATATCACAAATAAAAAGTAAAACACAACTATTTAAAAAATAAGATAAATAACATAACTTTATGCTTCTGCATTTTCGTTGAATAGTTTGAAAAAAAAACTAATTTTCCCCCTTTTTATATCCTCATCCTGTTCCTTATATCTGGGTGTAGTAAACCAAAGGTGCTGAAAGTTCGTTTTACTGACGCGGAGGAAGCAGTTGCACACAGGAACCGTTTTTTTATTGGCAGCTGTTTCGCAATTTCTGGCTCATCCTTTTGTGATGTCCACCACTGTATTCCATTTAGGTTTTTTTATTATTTCATTCGAAAACATATTTTTTGTAATTGGCAACTGCCGGCATACAATTTTATTACTAAAGTGCAGTATTTCCATATAAATGATTAATTGTTTCTAAAGCCAGATCCCTTTCTTCGACTGTTCTCATATTTTTGCTTTTGGGGGTTCAACATTTTGGCTATAAAATGAAATGGCGTGAGTGCTTGCTTATATCATTCCTGATTTTTTTATATTTTTGATAAAGGTAATTCTACAACATTCTCTAAAATACGTTGTAAATATTTCCACTGCTTTACAGCATCTGAGATGGTAGCGTTTTTTCTGTGCAAAACATAAAGAGCAACTGTTATTGGTTTTACAATGCTAAATATTCTTGTGCTGAATGTTTAAGTCCAATATTCGACACCTTTTGATAGATAAATGGTCGAATCAATTTGCTATTTCCTCGCACATCACTTGGAAGGACTAAAGCGTTGCCTCCTGCTTGACTGAATTTTGCCGTAGTTAGATAGTTATCGCGGAAATACTTAACAATTTGGACTACATGTTCTTTGACGTCTGGTATTTGTAAGTCTTTACACAGTAAATTCAAAATATATGCAGAGCAGCCATAAATTATAACTTTTGAGTCCGTTTTCTCCTGCAAAGTTTTTCTCTTGAACTTGCTTGCTTGCTTTTGATGTTTATCTGTCAAAAGATTATACCTAGCAGTCATATTTGTGATCTACATGAAGAAATAAGGTCACAAACTATTTTCAGTCAAATATTGTGAAGTATGAGGTTTTCCCGAAGTATCAATAGTTTCGTAAAGAAGCGCTCGTCCAACTTCAATTGTTACTGTTGCACACTGACTCATTGTGGATGTTTGACCCCCCGTCAATGGACATATTCACACAGTGAAGAAAAACATTTTGCCTTTCCTCTTTATAGATGTCATCTAAAATACTTGTTGATAACGTTTTTCTTAATGCCGGTTTGAGGTCTTAATAAGTGAATAGCTTTTTTGACTTCAGTGTTTTCAATGCACCTAATGGTCAGAATTAGCACAAACTGCCTTCTTTGCTATTTGTTTGTCAATCTTTTCTGTTTCAGCTGTTGTTTCCATTACGAAACCAAAACTTTTTCTTTGATTGGACCCTCTTCTTTGTTTGAACTTTGCGAAGATTTCCAAATGCTTGCCAGATCTACAGAACTGTTACGCGAGAAAAGAACAGTTCGCTACAGAAATTTTCTTGCAAAAAGCGCGTTCTGACGAATACTTAGTGTCTATATTGTACTATATTGTTTATGGCGACTTTAAAATATTTTGTAATTGCTACAAAAAAAAAAAACGGGAAATACATATTCTTATGAAATTAAAAAAAAAAGATATTTTAAATAAAAGTCAAGATTTGGCCAACACTGATGGCAACTTGAGCCTCTAGTTGAAATAATACTAAAATCACGACGTACCTTCTCGCGGTTTTCCTGGTATCGTCCGAGTGCAGTCTGGGCCGACCCCGCTGCCTCTTCGTGGTAACTTCTACGTCGGAGCCGAAATTCTTGATTTTTCTCGGCCTCCCCCGGCTCTTGGGCTTCGCCGGCGGCTCCGCGACTGGCAGTACCGGCGACGAGGACGATTTGGCACTGACGACGGGCGTCTTAACGAACCTCAATTCCGAGTCCGAATCACTCAACGAGTCTAAAGACTTAGTCCTGGGACTGGGTCTGACCACCGGCCTCGGTATTTTACCGTTACTCGTCCTCTCGTTCTCGAATTCACTATCACTATCACTAACGGTCCTACTGGTAACTGCCGGCTGGCGCGGCCGTTTGCGCTTCTTTCGGACGGGCGCCTTGTTGCCACTGTCCTCCGAATCGGAAAGGCTCGATATCAGCCGAAGCTGCGTAAACTCCTGCGCCTCGGCCACGATCTGGTCCAGCGAGTCGCTGACGTCCGATTCTTCGGTCGCCCTCTTCAGGCTGTCCGGACTCGCTCTGCGTACCGACTGCGACTTAAGCGGGGAGGTCATGGGCGAGGTCTGAGAACGGTGTATGTCGTTTTGACTGGAACAACAACAACAACAACATTAACACCTAACGACATTTCTTAAATAATATAATAATAACAAAAAATAACAAAACGTCGTCTATTAATTACATTTTTCCAAAATTTCATGTGGAGAAGTCTAGCTTAAAAGCTATTCTACTTAACCACTAGAAGCGAGAGAAAAAGAAGTAGACGGGATCGAAAATAATAAACAAAAAATAGATACACGCATTTTAACCAAACCTTTTACTTTTTCTGACACATGATCATATTTACGAAGATTGCAAGCAAGCCTACGACAGCTATTCAGATAACTTTAAAGAAATTTAAATGAAGAAAAGGACAACTAAGTTAGATTTTTATTGCTGATTTGAGTTTGGTATTACATAATTTTATAATTTTTGCAAGTCTGTTGTTTTATTTTAATTAGAAAAGCGTAGCGTCAAAAAGTATGATCTTTTTGATGATGATTTTGACCGATGATAGATGATACAGGACCTAAATTTTAAATTTATTTCAGTATAAAAATGGGTACATTCATCATGTTGAAAAATGTTCTCCATTCGTTATAAATGAGATACGAAGAGAGCCCAAAAAGTAAGGTGACTTAAGTTTTATTAAAAAGTATTTCGCAGAGGACCATTTCGGGTGACTATGGTGACTGGGACAGGATTGTGGTTTTGTTTTTTGCTAAAAAGTTAGACACAAGCAACGATGAGTGAGCACGTGCAGTATCATCAATAAAACATATTTTTTTTAGTTAGTTAAGTAATGGTTACGTAGGTCAGTGTTTCGTTTTTTTTTTGTAAATAGATATTAAAAATATTATATTTTATTTTTAATTTAAATAGGAAATAAAACACCGTATTTATTTAACATTATTTAAAAAAAAATGCATAACATTACTATTATGATCTAAGAACAAATTTAAGAAAATATATGTTATAATGAGTACTGCATATTTATACACATGTAGTGACTGGAACAACTTAAATTCATTTAAAACTTAAGATTTCCATGTATGTCTTTATTACCGCCTAAATTACCATAAGTAACATCTTTTAATGTCACAAGATGACAGTTTCTCAGATGATGAACCAATTAAGATTTCTATAATTAAATTTCTGTATAGTAATTTTTTTGTATAATGTATAATAAAAAATATAAGTACCTAATAACCTAATTTTTATTCTGAAAAAATAGAAATCTTTCATTTTTACAAGAATCCTACCAGAACGTCTTTGGCGCAACATGATCAGTGTTGGTGAATGATAACAATCTGCAAACCTATAAATCGATGTAAACCAGCGCGGTACTACCTGTACTCAATAACAATAACGAATTTTGCAATGAAATCAAGGCCACTCAATGAAAGCAGTTGGTTCATTCTGTAGTCCCTTTTTACACTAAATGCAGTTTTTATTACTTAACACCTTTCTAAAATAGATTATAGCAATAATTATTACTTGAGCATCATTACTAAAATCTCTGTGGTTATTTTTATATTTAGGGTCGACGTAAATGATTACCTTTTATTGCAGAATATTGTCATTAACCCAAATTTTCGACTTTTTCAACTATATTAATTAATATATGAAAACAAGTCCAATACAGTGGGTGTTTTTTTTCGATGTATAGAACTTTAAGTTGCAATAAAACAACGATGGATTATTCGATTGACATGAATTTTAATTATCCGAAAGATAATCTTGTGGCATTACATTTTAAATATGATTTCTGGCATATGATCGCCACGGCTGGCGCGGATGTAGTCCAATTTGGACGTCCAATTTTCGATGACTTTCCAACATTTGTGGCAGATATCTGCAATAACACGGCGAATGTTGTCTTCCAAATGGTCAAGCGTTTGTATCTTATCCGCATAGATCAGTGACTTTGCACAGCCCCACAGAAAGCAGTCTAGCGGTGTTAAATCACAAGATCTTGGAGGCCAATTCACAGGTCCAAAACGTGAAATTAGGCGGTCACCAAACGTGTCTTTCAATAAATCGAATGTGGCACGAGCTGTGTGACATGTTGCGCCGTCTTGTTGAAACCTCATCTCCTGGACGTCACGGTTATTCAATTCAGGAATGAAAGAGTCAGTAACCATAGCTCTATACCGATCACCATTGACTGTAACGTTCTGGGCATCATCGTTTTTGAAGAAGTACGGTCCAATGATTCCACCAGCCCATAAAGCCCACCAAACAGTCAGTTTTTCTGGATGTAACGGTGTTTCGACATATACTTGAGGATTAACTTCGCTCCAAATGTGGCAGTTTTGTTTGTTGATGATCGTTTGGCTTCAATTCTTGCACAAGTTGGATTTTGTAAGCACGTAAAACAAGATCCTTCTGCAAAATCTTCCATAAAGTGGATGGACGCAGATCCAATTCCTGTGCTCGATAGCGGATGGACTCATTCGGGTCTTCCTCAATGCTACGCTCTACAGTAGCAATAGCTTCTTCTGTACGCACCGTATGGCGTCTCTGGGGACGCGAGTTATCAATAACAGTAAACGTGGTGCGAAAACGTTCCATGGTTAATCGAATTAACTGCTCTGATGGACGATTTTGTCGACGATAAAATGGACGTAGTGCGCGATACGTATTCCGCATAGAACCATTATTTTCGAAATAAAATTGCACTATTTGCAGGCATTGTTCAGGCGTGAATCTATTCATGATGAATTGCCAAACCAAACTGAGAATAAATCACTTGACAGCTGTTAAATCGGTCGCCATCTTGAACAGTAATGCCAACTTAAAGTTCTATACATCGAATAAAAAAAACACCCATTACATCAAGTAAATGAAATCATTCGAATCACCTATGTAAAAACTAATATAAATGTTCAAATACCAGTAGTTTTGTCGCCAATTACCTATGTATACAGTGATTTTGGTACTGGAATATTGTTAAATTTTTTATATTTTTTGATGGGCTAATCTAGAACATGGCCTTCGATTTGGTTTATTAGCTGTACATTTAACTGTAAAAGAACCTTCAGTTCAGAATTTAAGAAAATCACTGTTCATCTTTAAAGATTTTCGCTCACTGTATATTCTGTAAATATTTAATGTAACTAGTTTTTTACATATATTTTTGAATTGTTAGTAATAGTCATATATAATCATTTAGATTTACACATTTGGAAACATTTTATGTAACTATTTTTTTTAAATATACTTTTGAATTGTTAACAAAAAAATCATATATGTGTACATAAAGTATGTATAATAGAAATCTGGCGCATCCATCACTTAATTAAGTTACGTTTGTCTTTGGTAGTAGTATTGTATGCAGTGCACATGCGAGATATGTGAGAATTGATCTCTCTCTGTCAATAGATGTAAATGAACTGTCAAAACTACTTAATTGATATTTTATTGAATCAAGTAAGATTAAGTAAAAATATAAAGAAACACGAACGTTGCAGGATGTATGTGGCTATTAACAATCATCAATTAACTGGAAAATTTTCTAAATGTTCCAGGTACCCAAGGCAAGTATAAGAAACTTCCTAATTTTTCAAAGAAACTTGCACAGGCTACTCTGTGTGTTGTGCTACTATATTATTTAGAAAAATTCTGGATTCCTCCTGGGTCGGTTGCAATGAACTGAACTTGCTGCCGTTTCGCAAATCATCCTATTGGCTTCTTCAGAACTTAACTGAAACTCAGCCATAGTTAAACTCGGAAGAAGACAACCATATAATTGGCGAAACATCAGCAAGTTCACTTCAACCTACGCAGGAGTCCAGAAGATTTGTAAATAGTGAAACACTTAGTTTTATTTACGAATTTTTGCTTCCCTTTTTCACCAAAAACGAAATAGAAAAAAAAAGATAAAACGCACCTGTTAACGAAAGATGCAAGGTTCCACCTCAACTTGCTCTCCTCCTCCGGCTTCGGAGAGGTCGGATGCGTTTCGTGAGGTTTGACGACAGACGGCGCGGGCTTGCCTTGGACCTCCGCGGACGTCACCTGCTGGTCCTCGACCGAGTCTTCGCTACTGGACTCGCTATCCGTACCCGAGTCCGTGCAAGAGTCGCTGCTAGAGCTGGCGATTGGTGACGCGTGTACAATAGACGGCACTCTCGGCTCGACGTTCGGCGTTGGTTGTCTATGGTCGGTTGGCATCTTCGACGTGTGTATGGCGGGAGTGCTGCATATGGGCGACAGCATCCTTAATAGCCAAAATAGGAAAAAAAAATGCATTTCCGTTCATTAAACGCCTTTGGTTATAGTTGTCGACTCCAATAAATCTTAGAAAGGGCAGTTTGTTTCCGTGGCCTATCTCCTTACAAATTTATTCGACCTTTTTAAGAAATCACTTGCCGATTTTACAAACGAGAAGAGATATATGTCTGCAACACTATGGAGAACTTATTGTCCTGAACTTTTAACTTTGGCATGGAATAAAATATTTTTATCAAACTCATCCTACTATCAACTAGCCAAACTGTCAAGATCTGAACTTATAATTAACGCAGGATAAATTCCTGCATAGAAAATGATGAGTGGCACTTTGAACCTTTGATTTTCCTTTCAATCAATTTTGTTGGCTTTTATCGTTATCAATGTAAAACATGGTTGATTGTAGGCGAAATGCTGTAGCCAAGCTTTTGAGGGCTGAAATTAGTATACAGCCGTATTAAATACAAGACGCAAGATAAATTCCTGCATAGAAAATGATGGGAGGCACATAGACTTTTGATTTTCCTTTCAATCAATTTTGTTGTGTTTTATCATTATCAGGGTTTAGTTTTCATAACCTTCGGATAGAGTTGTTAATAATAATAATAATCAGCTTTATTTTCTAACGGATATAATATCAAATGAAGAGACAATTAATTCGCTAAGTATAGTTACCACATCAAATGAACAGTCATATATATATATATATATATATATATATATATATATATATATATATATATATATATATATATATATATATATATATATATATATATATATATATATATATATATATATATATATATATATATATATATATATATATATATATATATATATATATATATATATAAAAACTCACAACTGAATCTACAATAATCACGTGAAACGTCTAAATCTATCCTTTAATTCGAAAGTAAACTGAGCCGGCGTTAGATCATTGACATCTATATCACTACAAATACAATTAAAAATGTCCATTGCTTTAAATAGTGAACTTCTGACCAAGAAGTTTGTGGAGGGAGTTCGAAGGTGGAATATTGGAGATGTTCTTACTGTCCGCGAAGGAACGTATAAAACCGATCTGCGATAACAATTCAGAGCAGTCTATAAGAGATCTCTGTGTAATACACCATCACACCTAAAAGCTAGATATTTTAAAAATTTCCTTTGAACTGATTAACCAAGTAATATATTTGTTGAAGATAGGCAGGCTGCCATATAACGACCCCATACGCGAGCTTATATCTAACAGAACTAAAGTAGAGTGCCTTTAGAGCCTGTTCGCTTGTAAACTCACTGGCATGCCGAAATCTGAATTCTAACATTTTCAACACACATTTAAAATTTTGACTGATATGGTTAGTAAAGCTTAGTGTCAAATAAAACTCCTAAATGATTGGAAAAAATAATCAAAACCAATACAACCAATCCTGTTCGAAAAACTAACTGAAAAACATTCATCAAGAGTCAACAATTTGAAGATTACGGATAATTCTAAATTCTAAAAATGCCCTTATTAAAATCCATTATGCCAATTTTGAGTTGTCGCCATTTATTTTTGGAAATGCCTCAACTTTAAAACAGTGTTCGCTCTAAGTATCATTAACATAAAATTTTACAGATAACGGGTTTTCAAATTCAAGTTCAATTCAGAACCTCAAGAACTCAAAAATTAACGGGGTCGCTACCTAAACAACAAAGAAAGATGACTATGGAATGTCTCAAGGTACCGTTCTGGGTCCTATACGATTTAATATACTTGTATATATCAACGATTTGCTCTACTTGAAAACGTTGGATTCTTTTTCTCAGATACTTGGAATTGGTTAAAATATTCAACTGAACAAGATATTTAAATAATGAATCCATAGCTCAAAATAAATAAATTCGAACTGAATTATAATAAAGCCAAGTATTGACCTTTCACAATTCATCCGTTGTTTAAAATAGACAATAATGAAGAAATGCTGGAAGCAACACTTTAATAGGAATAATTATAGACTTATCACACATAGTAAATCACACATCAAAGGTGATTTACAAAAAAACTAGTTAGACTACTGTAAGTTTTTTGTGTGTGATTTTGGAGCGGATCTTACTCTACAGATTTGTTTTTTAAAAATCGACATATAAGGGAAAGATAGAAAAGGCTTTCCTAGCTCTCAGTGAAATATTTTGCAAAAAAAAATTAAATCATTTACTACTCATTATTCCTTTTTTAAATTTACGTAGCTGTCTAAAATGTGGATTTTAAAAAATATAGTAAAATGTAATGACTTAATATTTCATAATAATATTCTATTGTTAATATTTTGTTATTAAATTTTAAGTCTTTTCAACAAGCACCATCATGCTGTTATGAATTTCACACTTTTGTTGTTTCTTTATAGTATCACATGAATATGGATGAATATAGAACAAATTAATGCAATAATTAAATGAAAAAGTTTACTTAAATACTAGACTACTGTAGACTACTCATTGCCTAAGGAAGCTCCAAACTTAAATACATATATTAATGAAAATATATGCTTTAGGACTACCACTAATTCGTAATTATACGTTCAGCAATTGGTGTTCTATAAGAAATGGTATTAGTATATAAATATATAATAGACATACAAATAATCTATGGTGTAAAGCCTCACTCTCGTGCATACTTATTACAGACGGAACATATTTTTTCGGCATTAAATTTATATAGATTTCAATAAAAACTGGTCAAAAAACGTTATTGCTTAATCTCAGCTTGGCAAAATAAAACATAAAGCCTAAGTAATCGGAAAGTCGAGTTCATTGTTTTAGTTTAGCTGAATTTTGGTAATGGAAATATCATTTGGATAATATATATTTAGCATAAGCCATATACAGTGTGTTCTTGTCTTGATAAAATGCTTTGCAGGACGATAAAACGTAATCTTAAAAATGTCAATGAGTTATATGAATATAGTTATTTAATTAAAACAATTCCATATAATAACGAAAATTCTTCATATTGTCTTTATATCACATTTTTATAATAGGATAATTAATATTTGGGCGCATCATTTAGAAATACAAAATAAATTTGGAAAGAAAATTTAAAAATTTAGATTTTCAAAAATTAGAGAGTTTATAAATAATTACGTCATTTTTAAAAATACGCTTAAAAAACATACTGCCATTTATTGACGAATAAACCTTTTGAAACGTTTTTTAATTCTTTTAATTTAACACTTCACATATAACATATAACATTCACCTATATAATTGGGCAAAAGAAAGACAATAATACCCACTTTAATCATGGCCGACCAAATTTGATTTTCTATTGTCTCTTTCTAGGTTGAGTTTGTTAAGAAGCCGCGTTAAGCGATAATCAAAATTTCCAATACTAAAATCTTTTTGCCAAATCATATCGTATCATCGAGACACATTAATAACACAATTCAAAAAAATGATTGCAGAAATCTGTTAAAACCGTTAAAAGGTTAGACAAAGAGACAACTATAGCTCAGCCCGTATTTAGGTGCCGTAAGTAAAAATAAGTGTTTCTATTCAGTAACCTTTATGTCAGCTGCATTTCTGTTATACTTTATCTGGTTATCGAACGTTATCAAATGTTATACTCCAAGAGATGTATGTTCTCAAAATTGGATTGAAAGAGTACACAGTTTGTTTTTTCTACAAGTCGTAATTGAATTGTGCTTATCTGTTGCAAGATTTTGACATCATCAATTGTGAGACTGGGTATTACAACATAATTTAAGCTTATGTTGTAATAATTTTAGACGTTTATGGTAAATCCATAATTAATGAGCTTATTTTGTTATGCCCCAAACATCTACTCGTTCATTAGTTGTAAACCAGTATACATTTTAACTGTCTGCATTACTTCGCCACATTGTTAGCGAAAAATAAAAAAACAAAAACAAAAAAACATTATGACCTTTTCGGAGACTTTCACATATTACAAATAACCCGCTTAATTTTAACTTTAGCTGGTTTAAACTTATATCGCCATTCCGGTTCAGATCTATGTAATAGAGACGTTCATACCGCGTCAATTATCAAGAGCTGCCTGGCTGGCACCTAAACATTCACGACGGCGTTGCTTAATAAATAATGGTTCGATTTTTGCACGTGCATTGGGTAAAGGCATTGTTAGTTGGCCGATGAAAGACCTCGCGGTATACATACGTCACGCGCAACCTTAACATAATTAAATTCGAGGAGGTCAGCCACTGTTGTTTCTCGGCGTGCAACGCGGAATTAATTCGCCCGAAAAGCACAAACAACCGAGATGATAGACTATAAAACGATCTTTTTTTTAATTTAATTTAAAATCCTTTGTCCCGCTAATAAATTGTCTAAAATATTACGAGCCCTAACAACTAATTGTTCGGTAAAAAATAATAAGAAAACATATTTATACTTATTTTAAATTGATATTTTTTGCCTTTTCGATTGAAAAATGAAATCACGCACTTATTTTTATACCAACAAGTGCTATCGTAATGAATTATTTTTTTATTTCACATAAATTACATAGCAAAATATCGAAAACATACCCGAATTTGCTGACAAATAAACATTCGGACGCATTTAAATCTTTTACTTTAAATCGAACATTAATAAGAAGTAACATCACCTTTCGCGGCAATAACAGCTTTTATGCGTTTTGGCATGGATTCTACCAACGTCTTGAAATATTCGGGGGTGAACGTGTTCCAAATTTCGGTGATATTTGCCTTTAATGCTGGAACTGTACGCTGAGGATTGTTACGCAAAGTCTTTTTCATCCGATGCCATAAAGTTTCAATAATATTCAAGTCGGGGCTACTTGATGGCCACGATAAAACTTTCATATTATGATCCCCAAACCACTTTTTTGTCGTTTTCGCAGTATGGCAGGACGCACCGTCTTGTTAAAATTTTCATTTCCAAAAGTTCGTTCTATTGATGGAATCAAACTTCTTGATAAAATTTGTTGGTATTTTGCTGCATTTACAGTACCATCAATGAACTCGTAGTTGCCAACCCCTTTACCACTCACACACCCCCATATCATAACACCCTGGGGAAATTTTACCGTGCGCTTTAGACAATCTTTGTGAAAGGCTGATTTTATACGAATCACGCTTTTTCGAAAATCGCCTACACACACATCAAATTTTGATTCGTCGCTGAAGACACCGTTACTCCACGTTTCCGTTATTCAGGATATTTTAGATTTTGCCCAATCCGGACGTTAATAATGGTTTTTCCTTTGCCTTTAACAAAAGTAGATCATAGAATATTAATAATTTTTATACTGAAACAGGAAAAATTGTAAACTTACCTTATAAAAACTCAAACCAGACTTATGCATCCATTGTCTACGACATTCCCAGGAGACATTTAAGTTTGCCTCGTGATTCCATTGGGCTTGAATTTGTCTTAAGACGCTAGTTTTACAAATCTTGACCAGAATACGACGATCTCTTTCAGTGATTTTACGGGGTCGGCCTGAACTTTTACCACGAACGCTAACACTAGCCGTCTCTCCATACTTTGTTATAATATCCCCGACTGTTGATTTTGCAATACTCAAGTCATTTGAAATTTTTTGCATTGATTTACCTCTGCAGTACTGAGATATGATAATTTCTCGCACTTTTTTGTTTGTTGCAACACCACGCGTCATTTTTATATCAACTATTATACAAACTTGAAAAAAAACAACCCGAACTGACATTTCATTTATCTAAGCACACTACATTTTACCATCAATGCATGGGTAGCATTGATTTCTTGGTCAATAAACAATCGGGTCCGAATATTTATTTGTCAGCAAATTTGGTAGGTTTCCGTTATTTTGCTATGTAATTCATGTGAAATAAAAAATAATTCATTACGATAGGACTTTTTGTGCTATCGTAATGTGCGTAAATTGATTATTCAATCGACAAAGCAAAAAAATTTTTAATAGATATAAAAAAGTCTTTTTTATCATTTTTTACATCATCCGAACATTAAGTTGTTAGGGCTCGTATACTGCCGAACAAAACACTTACTTTTCCACGGTTATATTTGACGACGACAACATATGATCCTTTTTTTGATCATCCTCACTTTCTTCCGATAGGTTGAGGTCATCCCTTATATCCCTGAAAAATAGAGATCGATAGTTAATTGTTATATTCAAGACACTAAGACAGATAGATACTTGAATATAAAAAGTACAAAACAAGATGTCGTATTTACGCAACAATAACAAACAAAATCAACAGTGGAAACCCTTTTAATTAAATGGGATTCTAAAGTCGAAACTATTTAATCTGAGTAATTAAACCTCATTTGGCCACTTTTATTGTTTGGCATTGATTTCATTCCAAAATTCTGTCTTTTTTTGAAGTACAGACAAAACCACCCGGGTTTGGGTCAATTTATGCAATTTGCTTATTGCTTATCCATAAACCAACAATGAAAATGGTGAAAATAAAAGAAAATAACCATTATATACATAGTAATAGGTACTTTTTTTATTAAATGCTACAGTAACCTAAATTTAAAAAAAGGAACTGTTACCCTTGACTTTACAATTTTTATATATAATAATAAATAATATATATCAGCGGCCAGATCGATCAAGTAATTAAGAGCCCACATTTTCACTACTTTAATGGCCAGCGTTTCGCCAGTTCTTTGATGCCACTTCCTCAGTGACTTGATGCAAGACTCGCATGCTCTAGAAGCGACGATCTGTTTCTTTAAGCGAGAGAGTTTAAATTATAATTGAAAATGGCTACTGTTTCAGGATTGGCTGCTGAGAAGCGGATTCTAAAAATGAGACACTATTATTCTCAATTTCTTCAAAGCCCTTCTCCACCATCGGTGGTGGCTTACTACCATTTCAATCAAACCGAACTGGAGATTATCATAAAGACATGATTGCTGATATTTTTAAAGACTACTTTCCAGGAAATGCTAGACCTCATTCCTCCTGGGTGTGTTACGAGGGTGGGGTGAGAAGTATTCAGCCTCACCAAGACGTGGCGAAAGTAGAAAGTAATCTCTACGTTATTTTGCAGACGCTTCCGCTGTTTTCGTAAAAATGGAAAAATTGGAAACACGTGCTATCATCAAATACTTCTATTTGAAAGGTTTTACAAAAAAAAAAACAAATTAAACAAAATATGGATTCAATACTAGGAGATTCCTCCCCATCATATTTGACTATTAAGCAGTGGGTTTCTGAATTTGAGCACCTCTGACGTGCCTCGCTCAGGACGGCCCGTTGAGGTCACAACTTCAAAAATGATTGAGAAAACAGTGTCGGAAGACTGCGGGTTGAAAGACAACTGTAGGATGTCAGTTGAATGTGTGCCACATATTTTGGACAACCATTTGAGGATGGAAAAGCTGTATGCAAGGTGGGTGCCGCGTTTGCTAACGCTTGACAAAAAACTTATTCTACCGACAATTTGGAGCTTTATAGGAGTAATCCAAACAAATTTTTGTGCCAATTCATGACTGTTGAAGAGACTTGGCTCCATCACTACACTCCTAAAAATAAGGAACACTCAAAACAGTGAGTTGCAAAAGCGGAACCAACTCCAAAGAAGGCTAAAACAATTTATCGGCAAAGAAAGGTTATGGCTACTGTTTTTTGGGATGCGAGAGGACTTGACGAATCTCCGTTTAAAACTAATACAACCAAATTAGAATGTATGTACAAAAATGTATCAGTGTTGATGGAGATAATTCTACAAATAAAGCATTTTTTTTAAAGCATCGTTTTTCTTGGTCAGGCGAAAAACTTTTCACACCACCCTCGGATAATGCCAGGTAAAACTCAAGGAAATGCGAAGAAATACCCACCCTTCACCTATTGATTTATTTTAATTAAGGAGCAGTTTCAGATAGATATGAAGAAAAAGGATCCGCTGGGGATTGTAAAGTTGTATAAACCTCTTAGTAAGAAATGTGAATATTAAGCGCTACAGAATTGATATGGGCGCTAGTAAAAGACGCTGAATTGTGAACATGATGAAAATAGAAGAAAGAATGCGAAAAGGCAATAACATGCTAGACTCCAACGACTGTAGTTCGTTTGACTACTTGGAACATGATGACTAACCAGTCGATAATATCTTGTTTTCTCCAAGAAGAAGTTTTCTCAATTGCCTTGTGATCGATAGCTTGCGTTATTCATAACTACTACTGAATTAATAACTGGTATCGGAATAGGGATCAAAAATAATTTTATTGCCCAAAGTTTACCTACCCCTATGGCTAACACCGAACTTGAGCGAAACCGTTCGGAATCTCTGATTTTATTATTCTACACTCTTCTGAAATACCCTATGTATTAGCAAATGTATTTAAACAATCTTAGTTTTCAGGGCATCAAGCGGCAAATGTTATAGAACACGGGTCGCATAATATGCGTAAACTCGTAGCTTTTGTTCTTTGTAGTTTAAATAAATGGTTAAAAGTTTTGTATACGTGTTCAAAATTTATTGTATTGTCTCCGATCTTCACGACAGAAAGAGTACCATTGGAGTAGGCGGTTTGAAGTACACAGTCTAAAATTATTATGAGCTTGCTTTTTTCTATAAGCTATAATTGAATTGCGATTATCTGCTGCACCAAGGTTCTGACGTCATCAATTGTGGGGCTGGGTATGAAAACGGTTGTCATCGATATAATTTAAACTTATGTGTTAATTATTTTTGGTTGCTTATGAGATATCGTTTAATATGGCGGATGGCAAGTTAGACGTTTATGGTGAGTTCATAATTAATGTGATTATTGTGTCATTGGTTCTAAATCATAATACATTATACATTATAATTGTCTTTTGATAAAATATAACATTTGAAGTAATGAAAGTTTAACTATATTGTTCTATCGCATGTTTGGAACGCCCTGTGTGTGTAAGCTATATTCAAATTTGCAGCTCTCTACGAATTCAAATATGGCTATAATAAAAGCTGCAATAAACAAAACAAACAACAGGAAAACTAATGAATTTCTAGAGAACCGCTAAAGATGGGTATAAGGAGGTATTATACAAAAATAACTTGAAATTAATGGCGGAACGGAAAATCCAGTAGTCTACAGCGTGTCTGCATATGATTGGACATTTTAAATTGACAGATCGTTGTTGCCTTGGTAAACGACCAAATTTTCAGAACTTCTAACCTGCGAGTTCGAATATGCTAACATAAACTGAACGACAGATGCAGTGGAACACCCAAGATCTTGACCAATTGAACCGCTAAAGATGGGTATAAGGAGGTATTATACAAAAATAACTTGAAATTAATGGCGGAACGGAAAATCCAGTAGTCTACAGCGTGTCTGCATATGATTGGATATTTTAAATTGACAGATCGTTGTTGCCTTTGTAAACGACCAAATTTTCAGAACTTCTAACCTGCGAGTTCGAATATGCTAACATAAACTGAACGACAGATGCAGTGGAACACCCAAGATCTTGACCAATTAACTTCGTACATTTCATTGCCGACAATGGATTTTCAACCAGCCAAAAAGTAATTTTTGGTGGTGTCGAATTTTTTTGTTCTTAGATCCCATATCGTTATCAGCAATGTGAACATAAGCAAGCGAAATATATGGAAAAAACGTTGCAACGTTCTTTTGTGATGTTAGGTAAATTAGTAGTAATTTTTTTATACTTTTTGTTTCTAGGAAATTATGGCCATTTTATGAGAATTCGTTTTTATTTTAAAGTGAGAACTAAGCAATAAGAGATAAACTTGCAATGAAAATGATCAAAATCAGAGGCGTGCAAAGCTGTGGTCGAAAATATTAGAAACTACTAAGCAGTTCCTGGATTTTGTAATTTTTATTTAAATTATTGTAAACTGGCCTTAACTTTTTAAACGAAAATGGTTAGCTAAATTCTTCTTGAAGTCTCTCTGTGTTGTCTTTAATTGACATATATATAAATCGAATTGAATGAGCCCTACTTTACTTTTGAAAAATCCGTTATAGGAAAATAATAAATAATTGGAACTGTTTACTAAATTTATTTGCATGTTATCTTCAATGTATTATGAATGTATTCTAACATTAAACATAAAATATTTGTCATGGAAGATTATTATTTTATGAAATTCATCTTGTATAGTTTTATGGACCGGTAATAATTAACACTTGCTAATCATTTTTTCTGCAACAGTTCACATTCGTTTTCCAAATGGTGGTAACTTTTTTTTAGGTCACTGACATGATGGTTTTTTTTTAAATGTCGAAAATGATTAATTTAAATTAAATGTTTATGATTAAAATGCTAAATATAAAGTTATAAACTGTTACTGCACACAAAAGCGTTGTGATATTTCACAGGGAATGAATACAAGGTTAAACTTGTAATGCGATTATTTGATTTGTTAGGATTTTGTCTGAATAATACTTTCGTCCACAAGCACATTTCTGAACATACCCCTCGGATGGGTTTAGCCATACTTTGAAGGGGACTTAAAATAGCACCCCCCGTAAATACTTATTTTCAGACTTCCTACTATGGTAGGTTGCAGCATAATTCGAACACTTTTTGGGTAGTTTTGGTAATTGAATTAAGAAAATAAATCAGAACGGTTTTAGGAGGTCCAAGAAAATGAAACGACTTTTTTTGCTAGGGAAACGATGACGTCAAGGAAGTTTCCACCGATATCAACAACTACACCTCTATCTTTAAAGAGGCAATCCATTCTCAGCTACGTAATCAGAATGTAAATGCTGAACAAATGCTAAATTTTTGAATTGTTTTAATGATTTCAGTAAAACACAAAACATAACGGCGAGCATAATAGATATGGCGGTGACCTCAATTGCTTTCGCCAGTATCTGGTTTCGTAAGAGATGCAATCTACGACTTCTCTCGAGGCAATTATAAAACTAAATAGTAACCCGTCATTCTCAGATTTCGAACCGACAGTGTAAATAATTTACCATACATTACAAATATAATATCAAATCGGTAGGGTTTGTTGATGAAAATCAAAAGTTACATTTCTACAAAAAAGAATATGGGGTTGACTAATGTTAGGGTTTTTTGGCCACACACACAATAACCTAAACCTTGGGATGGCACAAGAAAGTATGAACACTCTCAAACGGTTTGTCGCAGTGATCTGATATTTGGGTGGCTTAATAGCCAATCTGTGCAATTTTTCGACACTATGAAGTGTCTGAAACGACAGTAAATTTTGAACTTTAAGCCTACATAGAATAGAATTATTTTTCAAAATCTTTTGTTGTTTTATTTAAATTTTGTATAATACAGAATATTGAATATTTACCGGGCGCACTAATGACGGGAAAGAATCTTAATGGAGCTTTTTGTTATTTGTCTAATGGTAATGAAACCAACTAATATTTTTTAGAAAAACCTACTTTTTTTCGCTAACACTCTACTGGGAACAAATAAATTTTTATATTAATGAAATATTAAATTAGAAGGTTTTGCTTCTGTACATTTTTACCTAGTTACTGGTTTTGTTGTGTTATTGATTTGGATTATGATGTTAAACAATCAATTTAGGTAGAAAAAGCTCTCAACAAGATCGCAGTAGGATAAAAACACAAATATATTTGATATTTTGAGAGACTTTCAACAGGACACATTGTTTACACATATTAAACCGTTAAACAAATCTTTTTATATTTTTAACATAGAAAGTCAATTTATTTTCAAATTTTACCTCTAATAAATCACCTCTACCTATACCTCTAGTAAATCATTAAATGCCCTTGTGGCTCTTTTGGCAATTAACAGATAGAAAAAAAACATACCAAATATAGAGTAGAAACTAAATGCCACTAGTGTTACTGACGCTCTCGAAGTTTCAATTTTTTTTAATAAATTCTTTAAAAATTCACACAACAAATTTAAGTCTCACATAAATGTTAACCGAAAGAATAACACGAAATTCCCAAATTTTCTATCACCATTTATACGACTTACTTTCTAAAAAAATAAAAAAACAAGAGGATTCGGGTAGCGATAGCATTCCAAATTTTTTAATCAGAAATAGCTTAATCTACATTATAAAACCGCTGACAACTTATGCATTTGAAAGAATGACGGTGTTCCTTGAATGGAATAATATAGTTTCTTTCAACCAATTTGGATTTCGCGGGTGAACATCGTCTATATTGCCAGTGAAATCGTTTTGCGGTAAGATAATCTCTATCGTCAGACTAATTCGTCTGTAGTTGATATACACTCTATATCAATGATGTAGAAACTATTTCTACAAATCTGACACTTCCATTGTTCTTTCAGATAGGTGCGATCTGTTGAATGACGTCAATAACTGGTTTAACAGTAATAGTTTGTTTTTAAATTCCGATAAGACAACATCTTTAAGAAAACAGAGTAGCTCAATCTGAGGGTGTTAAATGTTTAGGTATTCATCGATGAAGATCTTAACTATAAAAATCAGTGCGAGTTCTTGATTTCTCGGTTGAACTCGAATATTTACATGTTGAGGAATTTGAGCACTATACTGACGGAGTGACAATTATTACAAATATATTACTTTCACATTGAATCTCGTCTGCGATACTGAATAATACTATGAGGTTGGTCTACACAATCGAAACAAGTGTTTTTAGCACAGAAAGGAGCGATTCGTTGTATTGCTGAGTTACACTCAAGCTCTCATTCTTGTAGAAATTGATTTAATACGGTATCCTGACTTTATCAAGTTTGTTTATATTTGAACTCAGTTTATATGTATTCAAAAATTAAAAACAACTTTATTCAAAATAATGATATTCATTCTTTCAACACCAAACAGCAGAACAAAATTCATAAAACTTTTGCCAAATATAAAATTGAAATAAAATGTAATTCTTTAACAACTTTTAAAATAAGATTAAAGCAGTATCTATCTGCATAAACTTTTGATTATGGGATTATAAATTTTTTTTAGTGTCTCTATATATTTCCCATACAAATCCAAATTAAAAATTATTATTATTATTATGCATTAACAATAGGATTTTGCAGTTCTACACTGGTTCTCGTGTCAATTTGACACTTATAATTTTGGTCTCACAGTTTTGCAGTTGATTAGATAAAATTATTCATACGTTAGATTTTTGTTCATTTTTAATAAATATTAATATTAATTTACAATTGTTCAATTTTCATAAGTGGACTCAACTTCCAAGATACTTAGTTCTTTCTATAGCGTGGTTGTGTTAGTTGGTCTGTCATAATCATATAATTTTACTACTTTGTTTTGTAACACTTGCATTCTTTGAAATTTTTGTTTTGCTACCATATAGGTAATAGATATACATATAAAGCGAAGCATAAAAAAGTATTGTAGATCATGTCTTTCGTTTTTTTCGATAAAGGATGTCCACATTTAAATATTGCAGCGATCATAGGTATGTATCGTATCTAGGGGGATGTTACCGTCATAAGTACTTCTTACAAAAAAAAATTCTACCTTATAAGAGAAAAGCGTATCCAAGTATTTTTTTTCAAGATATTCAAATAAAAAATATTGGTAAAAACGGTCCTAGCCCATGTAAAACAATCACCTTGATCCAATAACGCAAAAAAATAGGGTGTGCGATTTAAAATTCTAAAGTTACCGTAGTTTCCGCTCAAACCGGAAGTGCGCCCATTCACCTCAAACCGTTTATAAACATAACTTTCTTGTGCCACGCGGTATATAATCATTAATTATCTTGGCCGTTGGGATGTCTTGCCGAAAATTTACTTACATAAGTTGAATAGAAAATTATTATATCTTTATCTGTGGGTAATTTGTTGTTACAATATCACTTGACAGTTATATTATTTCGCTTCGCCACGAAAGTACATTACGCGATGTAACTTTTTATGAAATTTCGGAAGATTAATTAACTACAGTCGAACAGGATTGGAACAAATCAATAACGGAACGTAAGGTTTTGACATTGACGCAAAAATGACGACGAACGAAAGCTATCGAAGTATAAACGGGGTAAACTCTGAAATTACTTACGCTGACGATATTGAGGTCCTATTAAACTCCAGACGTTCTCGTTCTGAAATAAAAAAAGAATCGTAATTAATTTAATAAAATCTAACTGTTTCGATTGTTGCAGGCTTTTAGTTTTTTTTCTCACTAAACACGTGGTCCAATTGTCTAGAAAATCAAATATTCTAGATTTAGATAGAGGGACATTTCTTTTAAATTTTGTGAACACATAAATCATGTAAACATTTGTACTCGATTTCTCTTTCCTTTACAGACAAAATCGAAATGTATGCAATGAGTTCGATATTCGAAACTAGTAGTTTTCAAGTGCTAAATGAAATGCAATTAATGCACAGCGAATACTGTCCCGACCTTGAATTTGCTAATTGATCCACGCTTCGCCACCATAAATATGTACCATAAAATATAAAGTAGAGGTGTTCGTTAAAACACGTAAATTATCACCGCGATGAGGCAATTATCACGTCCGAATTTCTTTTTTTCTAAACAGGATGCTTCACCTCAAAAGTTCCAGGAAAATAAGTAACGAACATTAAAAATTAAAATTTTAATACTGCCTCAGAAACAAAGTTGTTTTTGGCTCTTAACATATGTTTAGAACCCAAAATATTAATATATAACACAACATACAGGGTGTCTCATGTTTGATGGAAAAAGAGACATTTTGTCACAATGGAAAATAGCAATTTGCTGGCGATATGAGTTTTTTGACCTTCCTCTATCTAAAATATTTTCAGTGTCCCACTGTTGCCGCTTTTTTCGAAAAGTGGCGACAACCTGCATATAATCAGATTTTTCTCTTCACTGTCACTGAAATAGATCCCATATTAAATTATTATTGCTGGCTTGGTATAAATATGTCGAAAACTTAAATTTTGGAAGCAATTAACTTTTCAGTACTTACACAAAAGGAGTTTCTGGCTGAAGCAGTAAGTCATAACTTAGGCCTCAGATGATTGCTTGTCTTGTATCGTAATAAAGATAGTCTGTATTAGTAGATACAAAATATTTATCAACTGCGTTCAGTTAAGACTTATAAAGATGAAGCGATAGTCACCTGTTATACTAGCGTTCGTTAAAATTCGAATTGAGTTATTCTGCTGAGATTTAGAACAACTCTATAAAAGATATGAGACTCGAAGAAAGGACGGTATCATCTCTCAACGCTAACAAGTTGTGTCAATCTTCTTAGCAGAAAAATACTGGAGGACAACTTTCTAGAGTCCATAATAGAGCTATATACCTAATATCTCTACATTCTCACCCAATGTTAGCCTCGAGCTAATCGAGAGAGTAAATCTTTGAGTTATTTTTTCATTGTTATTAAGATCACAATGCTGCAACCACAGAATGGAGAGATCGTTAATGTACATAATAAAAATAGCAGGGGCCCCAAAACGGAACCATGAACGACTTTATATCGACTTTATTTTGGTGAGCAGTCTGTGGGGATCAACAAAGAATTGAATTGAAAGAAATGAATTGCCTAAAAGAGACGGAAAAGTTGTACTTTACTATTAAATAAAAACCCAAGATCATATAGAGAAAGACGTAAGTTATAATCGCACATGAAGTAAAACTTCTTCATCAAGGGAATGGCGAAAAAAGACGAAAAAGTTGTATTATACTACTAAATAAAAACACATATACCTAAGTCACATTCGCTAATGGTATCCATATCAGGTTTCGTACGAAACGCTTGAGTCAAAAAACTTGATCGAAGAGAATTTGTATTTCAAAATCTTAAATGAAAATATTTCTGTAAAATTAGTTCACCACTAAATACATTGATCTATTTATATCTGTGTTTTTTGAAAAACCTTATCTACGTCAATTCATTAAGGGGATCGAAGATTGAAATTGCTGAACAGGCGAAAAAGTTGTAATTTACTACTAAATAAAAACAGAGGACTATATCGACCAAGTTACATTCGTATGTGAAATCTACCTTTTCTATATATCAATATCAGGTTTCGCACGAAACGCTTGAGTCAAAAAACTTGACCGAAGACCGTTTGTATTTGAAGTGACAATTTCAAAATCACAACTCAAAGTATCCTTGTAAAATCAGTTCAGCATAAAATTCGTTTGTCTATTTAGATCTGTTGTAGTACTATCATGTACATTAAAAAGGTGTGTTTGAACAAAGATATTTATATTTTTTCCTACATGAATCGTAGAATGAAGACATGTAATCGTATCGTATAATTAAAAAATATTCATAGACCAAAATAAAAGACTTCTCTTACGACAATATTAATTCGGCCATATTCAAAGATTTTACATTAGATCACAATCTCCTTTTTATCTATGCACTAACGAAATGGAGAACGTGTGCGACTAAGTTTACGCTCTTTAAACGAAACGGCTTGAAACGATATTTTGCTCTGTTGTTAACGATTTTAGAGAGTCCGGTTTTGATTTTGTTCACAGTATGCGCTGACCGTGAAAAACGGATCACGCGCGTTTAAACGCCGAAGTAAAATTCCGATTTGATTCCGGCAAATCGCGTTTCATTATTTCGCAGTTTTTCAGTGATTCAAATAGGCGAATGCTCAGTGAATCTATCTACCAGGCATCCGGACGACCAAACGTGATGGAAGTAGACAAAGATAATCGTGGGAATCGCCCGATGCGACTTTACACTAGGATATTACTCCGCGGGTAGACCGCAGTCGACGGTCATCCAAACAATAATTTATATCGCCCTTTTATGCTGTTCACTTCACCAACGCCGGCCGGTGTCACCCGCCAATCGACCGTCTAGCATGACATAATTATATATAATACATAATATTGATTTAAAGTTTCCTACAATACTTTTTAGGAGGGCTATCAATACGTTTTTGCAAAAATGTAAACAAAAAATCAGTCATTAATGTGGCTTCAGCTTTAACTAGAAAATGTAATGTAATTGTTGAAATTAGCTACATAAATAGAAGAAACATTATTTTAAACTTGTTATTAGGTAATTGTCTATACCGATAAATATAGGGGTAATTTTACATTATTTTTTTACTCACGACTTAAATTATTTATACAACAGACAAAACACTCCAAGCATATTTAAAATTACACTTAAATGAAACCTTGCATTGAAAAAATACACAATACCATGGTGAAATTGAAATAAAACGTGTTGTTTTTTTCATTTATATTTTAACACCGACCTACCGAGATTATTAAATTCATTTCTTCGACTTAAAATATTTATACTTTCTGGTCCATCGCAATATATTTTATTTTTTAAGGAACCCCACAAGAGACTTAAATCAGGTCTATTCGACGATCATATAAGAGTGCCATGCAATATCAGGTGGCGGAGCACACAAGTTTTTCTCGGAGGTGTTACACTTCATTCTGATGTCTTCAAAAATTACTTTTATCGGCCGCATCAAACATGAAGAAACCTACGTCCTTGTATTTTTACAGCTTGTGTTTTGCGGGCATTTTTAATGGTCCAATAATGCTTATTTTTCGAGTTGAACGTCCTTGCAGTAGTGACGGTCGATTCATTAGTAAAAATAATTTTGTTAATACGAGACTATATGTAATAAACCACTCACGGCGGTAAATTTACATTACAAAATTTCCTACGGAAAAAGTATAATTACATGCTGAACTTAGAATTTCAGGAAAAACGTAGGTTTACTTATTCATATGTGGCACACATGAGAAAATATTTTTTTTTTTTATTCAGATAGTACAAGAGTAATGAAAAAGGTATTCACTATAAAAGGTGTTCCAATGTACTGCTTGGTGTAAGTTTTGTATAATTGTGAACAATAAATATCATTGTGAGTTAAAAAAAAAGATGGTTACCAAAAATTTTCAATTAAACATCATAAGTTATAATAAATAAAGGCATTCATGAAGCCTTGACGGTGTCAGATACCGGAAATACAGCTAAAGTAGCCGCAGAAATAATGTTGTGCAAAAAAGCATACATACGCAGCAACATTTAATATGTTTCCAAGATATAGGCCACTGTTTTGAAATAAAAACTTGAAGATCAATAAGCGATGAAATCAGATATTGAACACCTGATCGTAATAAACAATAGAAAAGGTGCCATCGCTTAGGCGACGCCATAATGTTTTGCGTTTTGTTTTGTAGTTGCTGGTTCCTGGAACCTGCCAATTTTGTTGTGACTTATTACAACAAGATTTAAAATTTTCTATTGGCTGAGAAGTATTCCACTTAATAAGTGCTAATTTACAGGTGGAAGGGATTGAGCCATTCCAGATTAATGTACAGTAGCGTCTCTCAAACCATATCGTTTTGGATTTTGATGGACCTTCCCTCAAAAAGCAAAGCAAAAGCAATTCCAACAACCATTTCATAGTCATCTCGATAGTCATATGTTTTTACAGGGCCAGATGTCGACCACGAACAAGCTTCCTACGAGTATATTACTAATTTCTCCATTATTTCGCTTGGAAATCACTTGTAATTAGACGCAAAAGAAATTGCAAAAATTGTGTAAAATAGTTTTATAAATACAAGAATCATTAAACAAGAAGCTGCAAAACAAACCCTTAACAAAACTAAGTTGTTCCTATTTTGATTACGTTGAAAAGGGAGTAGAAGAAGATGAAACCAATACAATAATTGATTGATAATTTGTATGTATTTAGCGTCATCGTATTTTCTGTTAACATTAATGTGGATTTTATTATACCTAAATAAATATAATATGATTTTTGATTTTTATATTTTTAGAAAAGCTTGAAAATCTGTTTTATTGCCGTGGGCAGGTTGTTTCGATAGTTGCCGTCAAAATCCAAGACTACTACTGGAGAAACGATCAGAATTTCGATCGGGAAATAACTGCGAGAGTGCTCTCGCCGGACGATTTATTCAGAGCTGCGGATGAAAACAAAATCTCGGTAGTGGTGTTACTAGATCATTAAATCGTAATCCAGACAACCTCTTACAAACCTTTCACATGTTCACATATGTTCACTACAGGTTGCCGTTTGAGTGCCGCAAGGCAGCATCTCGGATTCTCTTTTGTTTACTATTTATACTACTCAGTTTCACATG